CTTTAATACTTTGTTTTAAAATACATATTGTAATGATTTAGTATTTATACTACTAGTGCACTAACACTAATAAAATTGCTACTTTTGTGCAATTTATTCATGTATTCAAATTCACGTAATCAACGTTATCAGCATGCAAGTAGTACTAATACTTTATTCGTCGCTATGCCGAGTGTGTACTTTAATTCAAAAGCTTGACCAACGTTTTAATTTTCAGTAAGCGTAAGCAATTTCGGGATTAATAATTGACTTTCTTAAAGGATAGATTTGCATGCCTGACAAAGCACTATGCTTATCTCAGTTTGATTTGTCTGAAATGAATTATTGCATTATTTCGCTTTGCTTTACTTCAGTGTCATCATTAAAATGTTAGCGTAAAGAAGCGTAATGAAGAAAGTGAAAACAAGTGTCTGTGTTACTCTTTCTGAAGGCGTTTGCTATTCTGCTCAGTGATGCTAATGCTTGAACGTTTTTCATTTGAAGCAGTGAAGTGAAGGCAATGGAAGAGAATGCAAAAGTGCAGAATGTAATTGCAAATTATTAATTATTCTCTTTATACTATCCCATCAACTACCAACTTTCAATTATTTCAAAAATGGATTTTACGGAAAATGAAGTACTGCACAAAGTATGCAACCCTGTGCATTGCCTTTTCAGCTATCACGATAGTCACTCAATCGCGAGGAATGAGAAAATGCAGATGCTAGAATCTGAAACTTCAAGCACTGATATTTGTTCTAATTATTACGAGGAGTATGAAGATTCCCATGTTAGCATGGATTCAACTTTGTACTACTTGTCCTTATCATACTTAGCTACTAAATGTGACGAAGGGTCTGCTCCCTCTCATTCTGGACTGCAGTGCTTCTTTGAAGGTTGTGATGTTTCTCGTTCCACACGTACTAGCTACCTCCAACAACCGCAGCAGTTTTCATCTTTTTTACCACTGTCTGATGCATTAATCAAAAGTAAATTACTGCAATATTCTCGGAAAAATCCTTTCTTTCGTCCGCCTCAAAGTTCGCTGTTCGATACTATTTTTGATTTCAGAATTGATTACTATTCATCTACTTTATTTTCTTCACTATCAGCTATGAATAAATCCACTATAGCTTCTCCATTTGCTTATTTTTCAGAAGATATGGATATGTCATCTGTTGCTTCTTGCTCTTCTACTGATTCAGAGTCTTCAAATGTTTTCTCTGTGGATGTTGAAATGAACCGTAACTATGATTCTGAAGACTGGCACAAAGAAACTAAAGATGAATCATCATCTACTACCTCTTCAAATAATGTGCTAAAATACAATCAAGCAGAAGAATTTTCTACTCAAAATCAGTTTTATCAGTGCTTCAGCCATCACTTTTTATCAACTACTAAGCAACAAAAAGTACGAATTCCAAAAGCGAAACTTGTTAAGAATGATTATCTCTATGAAAATTTGTGTTATTCAACGGATGTAACAGTTCAACGTTACATGCGTAGTGCTTTCAAATATACTCACGTTTTCGAAATTCTTTCTCGGCCTTTAAACAGATTTTTCGTCTCACCTTATTCTTATGGCTTGGGTCTTCCACTTTTTTATCTCAATACTGTGTGGTCACCGTTGGGTTTTTATCCAGGTGCTAATATATTTAAAGCTAAAACACGCTTTACTTTTAATCGCACACTAAAGAAGAGCGGACGTTCAGGTAAATTAAGTCGTTACATATTACAGATTGATATAAAGTACGTCGTCAGAACATTTTATTATATAACTTTTTTATCAATTCTTAGTAGTAACTTCATTTTCCAAAGTCAGAAATGTGCGTATGAATCGTGAAAATCGGGTATTTGATTTCATAGAGAAAATATCTAAAAGTGATTTTGCTGGACATTTATTATGAATATCTAGAATTAATTATTGGTAAGGTGGAAAAATTATGCAAATTAATTTTTTTTCCCATCACTTAGAAGGATTAAAGCTAGTTTTGTCACCTCTCATGTATGTAAGCATACTCAGTACAGAAATGATAATAAGAAAACTTGGTTTAGAAATTAAAAAATTTTGCATGATTCATTTACTGTGAAGTGTTAAAAGAATTTGATCTTATGATTATGCTGTCATTTAGCTTTATTCACTTTCTGTGATCAGTCACTATTGTTTAAATATTTGTTTGCAAATAAAAATTAAAAATCAGCAAAACGGGCTACTTCAGAAGTTGTGGTTAGCTTTGCAGTTTAGAGGAAGGCATCTGAGCAGAGAGTATTTCTGCTCGAAAGTTTAAACATAATCATATCATCATTTTTCAATCACATTCTATAAATACACTTCATTTATTCAAACCGAACTGCCTATTTTGATAGCAATAAAAATTTTCCAATCCCATTCACATTTTTCAACATCAGTGCTTATTTTTAGTAAAATAAAAAAGTTAATTATTTTAGATTAAAGTTTATGACTAATTTAGGTTTAGTTTATTTGATTTTGTTTGAATACTAGCTTGCTTTAATTTGTGTTAGTACTTGAGGTTAGGTAAATTTTAATTAAAGATTTAAATTACATCAGTACATTTTTGCGCACAAGATATGCATTGAATTTTCGGACACAATCAATTTACTTTAATTTTGTAGAAAAAATATATTTGTATTAGATTGAGCATTTTTAAAATATTAACCTAGAATTACTACATTTGAATATAAGTTTTTCAGAGGTAATAAGGTGCCAGAGTAATTCAACGTCTCCAGCAATACAAACGGCCATACCAAGTTCGTTTGTATTTGTTCCCTTGACACATTTTCACTTTACTCTATATTACTGTATATTAACAAGGCTGGAAGTATGAAAAAATAATTAGTTTTATTACTTAGCTATATATTACTAAAGACAATACTTAATTCATTATTTGTATCTGTTTGTAGTCCGTCCTAAAGCTAAAAAGTATATGAAATATTTTTTGTACCAAAGTAAAAAAAAGTTTCTTATAGTCGAGAATGCTTTTTACTTCTCTTGAACTCAGTACTAATTTGTTGTATGCTTTTTTCGCGTTACAGCTGCACGCAGTCGTCTACCTGTTAAAGATAGAAACATAACTGATCAGTCCATCCAACGTGCTTTTATTATAACGGAGGAGCTTTCACGAAATCATCGAGGTTCATTACGAATTTTTCTACTAAGAATTTTAACGCTTTTCTACTTTACGTTGGAATTCTTGATAGAATATTTTTAAATCTCATCTATTCATATTTTCTATATGTTAAAAACTATAAGTTAATTGCAGAATGGATGTAAAAAAACATCTTTTAAAACCAGTTGTGCTTTTAGCTTGATTTTGAATTCCATCCATTTTATCACTTATTCTCATGCTAACATGTTTAGATGAAACACCCAACTCAATTCATAGTATAGTACCAAAGTCAGCTATTATTAGTGCTCACAACAGATTCGAATTGTCAACATTAGATGTTCTTAGTGAGGAAATTTGGTTCTTTCATAAGTCGATTACACAAACAGATAGTGTTCTTAACCGAAAACTTCATCTTCGCGATGTGCTTTATTATGCAATATCTCCTGTCTTTCCAAGTAAGTTTTGCTGCTTTTTCTACTTGATATCATAGAATGTACTGTGCAATCATATTTTCCAGTGTGTGGTCTCTACGTAGTTGGTTCATCATTAAATGGTTTTGGTACGTATAATTCGGATATGGATCTGTGTTTAATGATAACAAATAAAGATGTAAGTTAAGTTATCATATGTTACGGGAATTGTTTTTAAAATTACTGCAAATTTACTTCACTTTTGTAAAAAAAAAAATATGCCATGTATATGTACTAGATTAAGCATTTTTGGTGGAAATTGATCGAAAAATTCATTTCTAAACTAAGTCATTGTTTTCTATTTTGAAAGCATCTAAATCAGTTCTTGCATATTGGTTAAACGATATTTTCCAATTTCCGTAAACTGTTATAAAAAAGATAGTGTTTGGTTTCAGTTAGACCAACGAACAGATGCAGTAGTCGTTCTAAATATGATCCAGACCGCTTTATCTGATACAAAGTGGGTTTCAAATATGCAACTTATTCTTGCCAAAGTTCCTATTCTACGGATACGTTTCCATGATCCTTTTACTGATATCACTGTTGATTTAAATGCTAATAATTCGGTTGCCATTCGCAATACGCATCTATTGTGTTATTACTCATCATGTAAGTTTATTTTCTACTTCATATTTTTGTATTTGTTTGTTTGTTTGTTAAATAAATAACAACAATAATGAACGACAAAAACGTATTTATTAACTTGTGATTTATTCTCATGAAATAAGAAAGCTAGATGGAATTAGAAGTTGCATGTTGGGATTAAAATTTAAATATGTTTAAAATGAAGAATTAGAAGGGATGTTTCTAGGATAAGTCATAATTCATCTTCTACTGTAATTTTGGTTGAGGATGTTGATTTACATGTTGCTTGCTTTTTTAAGCAAGTGGAAATTTCAGTTGACTGGCGAGTAAGACCCCTAGTCAGCGTTGTTAAAGAATGGGCTAAGCGAAGAGATATTAATGACGCTAATCGTTCATCTTTTACATCCTATTCGCTTGTTTTGATGGTCATTCACTATTTGCAATGTATGTTTTTGCATTTTAAAGTACATGCAATGCGCTGAGCTGTTTTTAATTTTCTTATGTCATGCAGTTGAAGATTAAGTTACCATATTTCTATTCTTTCTTCTTTTTAATTTTTTATTGAAGTTATTTTAACTACTTCCTGGATTCTAGGTGGATTAGAACAACCGATTCTACCATCTCTCCAGTTAGTTTATCCGAAACGATTTAGTCCAAACGCAGATGTACGCTCGTTGAATGTTTCAAGTCATTTAGAGCCACCACCGGGATGGATACCCAACGAAACAGTTACTCTTGGCGAACTACTGATTGGTTTCTTAGAGTATTATGCTTTCAAATTCGAGTATGTTACAATATTTCTTGAAAATTCTATGACGAAGGTTGCAAAAACATTCATTTATTTTTGGAAATTCATGAAAATTTATAAGTCTGAATTACTGTACTGATGCCAGTTTTGATTTAACAGAGAAACTTTTCCTTTCGTGGATTCTATGTTTCGATTGAAAATAGTTCTGCTTTGATTTATAAGGATTTTGTTGAAGAATCAAAATATTAATTTTATCTCTATCAAATAAATAACTACCAATTATGATGATTTTTGATCTCGTATTTGCTTCAGTATAAGATATGAACCTGTGATTTATGTTCTCTGCAATGTCATTTTAGAATAATTTTTGTGTGTAAGTTTTATAATTATTATTTTGTAATGCTAATTGTTTATGCATTCTAGCTATTTAAAAGATGCAATATCAGTACGTTTGGGAAGCAAAACAGAAAGAACAGTAGTAGCTCGACAACCGTCTCCTTACAACTGCAATATTGCTCAATGGAATTGTATTTGCATTGAAGGTCATACCAGAAATTAATTTCATGACGTAACCAGTCATAGATATGAAATAGTGAATTAATGTACTGGTGCCAGTTTTGATTTAACAGAAAGAGTAAAAATAGTGGATGTCATGTTCTGCTTGGAATCTTGCAGTAGCTAGAAGCACTCAGAAGAAACAGAAGCGTTAAAATCTTTAAGTCTATTTTTCGTTTCATATTATCTCTTACTTTTACAGAACCATTTACTTTATCGAATACAGCACACTCTGTCCACAATCAAATGGTTTTTGATGCTATTCGTCAAGCATTTGTTGATGGCTGTTATGAATTAGATGCTAATAGAGATTTGATGGCATTCCTTAACAGTACGCCAATTAAAGTCCACATTGGAGCACCAATAAGGTAATAGAAACTTTGTTTTTTAATTTTTTTAGTAACTGTTTATAGTATTTAAAAGAGTAGTCGAATTTCAGTTCTACTGCACCTTCAAACAATACAGTACATTTGGAAGCAGGTTCATCAGCTTCCATTAGCTCCGGTGATGATAAGAGTGGGCGACTGTCAGTAACTTCAGAGGTTGAGAAAGAACAATATGAGCTGGTAGAACATAATAGGCTCGATGAAAGACGTGAAATAAAATTGCAGAATGCTGCTGAAGTTTTCCCCCAAGAGAAATCACCTGTCGAAGTTGACAATAGGTAACCTATCGAAGTTGACAATAGGTTGACTGTACTGCTTTGTGATATATGTGCTCTTCAATTTTATCGTTGTTTGACGCAATTTCATGATAATACTTGCCACTTGTATCAGTAAGGTTGCTCAGTGCCTTAAAGAATACAATGGGATAATATCATTTGTTATTGTAGGCAGAAATATCTGGCAAGCAGCAAGAATGATATGATTGATAAGGAAAATGGTGGAACAACTCCAAAAAGTCTTACTGTTAGTATAAATTTGTTTTCACATTTTTTTAAGAGAATGGAAAATTTTTTGAAAAATGTGAAATCCGTTCTTCTTGTAATGTGTTTACCTTTAGGATTCCATAGAAAATGTTCTTCCATCAGGAGTAGAACCTGAAAATACAATACCTGTTCTTAATGCAAATACTACTACTTCAAGTTACGAAAAAATCTCGAAGAACATATTTACTGAACTTCAACCAAATGAGCTGCAATTAGAATTGTTTAATCAAAGGTACAGAATGTTGTTCTAACATTTTCCATTCATACAGTACACTTTTTTAACGCATATTATTCTCGTTGTTGCTACAAAAGGAATGTTTGTATGATGCAGCTTGTAGCAGCAAGGAAGGCTTGTTTTTTCGCACAAATCTTGTGACTTCTAAAAGTAATAAGATAATATTGTTATTCATAAATTGAAAAATCATAATGGTTGTTTGTTATCAGAATTCATTACTTTTGTTAATTAATTTTTAGAATAAAGACTACTGGTTCTACAGAAACAGTTGATAGCCTCATTTCGCAACAGGAACTTGGAAAGCAGCAGGTAGCAGTAAATAGAGCGAATATTCAACAAAATCGTAAAGGTGGTCGCCGAATGTATGGTTCTTCAGGTTGCGAGAATCGCAAGCATTTAGATAAATCAAACGCAGCTTCTACAGCAGTACAAACGAGTTATAATTCTGGTACTGCGTCATCTTGATATTTTATCTCAGGTTACTACGATGGTGCTATAAGCAAAAGTAATCGGCAGTGAGGAAATTTTTAGCGATTAGAGAAAAAGAAATTAGATTTTCTCTCGTATTCATTTCTCTTCTGAATTTGAGTTGGTGACGTATTTGATAATTCTTATGTTTCACCTTTTGTTTCAGTTTTGGCGTTTTAAGGATAAGTCTTTTCAAATTTCGTGAAGTGTTAACTTGAAGTACGTTGCAGAGATCTCATCGTTATCTTCCATAGACTCTCCACTCTTGTTTGTTATTGTCATTATTGCAGTTAAATATTCTTCATGATGTGCTTGATTATTTTCATGTTTTATTCCTCTGACATTTGATGTAAGATTTTCTACCACATCTTCAATGGAAAATAGCGCTATCTTATTCAAGAGAAGATTCTTTTTCTATCATTATGATATGAGAGTTTCCAAGTAGTCAAAATGCGTGTTGTCACTAGAAATCAATCCATCCCAGATTGCTACTTCTTTGAGCAGTTTTGGTTTCTTCACTTGTTTCATTTCATAAATTTGTTACTATCACGTGCATATTCTTTTCTTCTATTCAATTACAAAAACAAACAAAAGTATCAAAAAAAAAAAAATCAATTTTTTGATGTTTTTTTTTCCTTGATTCGTTGTGCTTTAAACTATTATTGTTTTCTTTTTATATTTACCTGTTTCTATCTGCTGATTATCCCGTCAACAGTAGAATGTTGTTTGAGGATTACTCAGCCTTTTTCTTGTCTCATATAGATCCATAATTGGGTCAAACTCCAGTCCGCAGACTTTAAATATACGGTTACGTGTATTAAGAAGTAGAATAGGTAGATGCGCAAAGTTTCAAAAACTAAAAAGCGTATAACTTTCGTTCCTCATGCGTGTATTCTCAACTCACGTCTTTTATCATTACATAAAACTGGGTACATATGTATCCAAAAAAAATTTAATGTGTCTTTTTTACTTTTTCTACATCGTGTTAAAAAATTTTAAGTTCTGTTACTAGCTTTCATTCCTTCTTTATTGCTTCATTTTCGTTTAGATCAGCACTCATGGCGTGAATGCTTCTCCACACAATTTGCTTTTTACAAACGTGGTTTTTTAGAGTTTTATTTGTCAAAATACTCGTCAATTATCTGCCTGTTTAATAGGTACCTACCGGTTTTCTTTTCTTTTTATTCATTGTAACAGAGGGCCCGAGCTGACTTTTATAGTGTGAATCAGAACATATTAGAGTAGTCATACCTTCATAAAATTTAATTTTCTAGTGATGAGCTTCATGCTCAATCTACTATAAGAAAGAAAAAGAAACTCTACCGCCTCTTTCGTGTTGTAAGCAATCACGGGACAAAAAATTACAAAGGATTGGAACAAGAATCTTATCACAATTATCATCTCCGGTCAGAAAGTGACTTTACTCTATTTCTCCTAGTTTTAAAGTCGTTTTATCCAAATATGAGAAATTCCATTCTGTACTCAACGCTTTTTATTCTATTTATTTCCAAACAGGATTTAAGACAATGATTCTGTTTGGATGATGTGAAATAAGCCTACAAACATGCTACCCGCAGTCATTTTACTAGTTATCTCTGTTCATCTGATGAGAAAATATGCGTTGCTCAATGTCTAGTAAGCACGTTTACATGTTTTATTTATACAGAGAATGTATACGTCGTTTTATCGTGCTATAAATCTTGCAAAAATATGTGTCATTGTGTTTTACAACACGCACTATTTAATGTCTCAGTTCATATTCGTTTCTGCGAATGAATTTTAAAAGACGACATGAAAATAATCAAGTGAATACATAAAAATAACCAACTGAATTCAATATCTTTTACATCACTATTTGCATATCACTTTTTCAATGAAAATTCGAGCATCAATTCCACATGTTTACATACTCTATTTCTAAAACTACCATCCAGTGACATGAAAAACTTTACCCGAATTTTTCGAAAGTGAAGAGCCAGTCGCATACCGTATCAAAAAGATTCTAGCAAGCACATCTTGGTCTTTGCTCTTTTCATAGATCCTTATGGAGAACTATTCAGTAACTCACATTCACTACATTCTTGCCAAGATAAAACCTCAGAACTATAAGTGATAACGAAATTGCACTATGTGTAATAACGAAGACAAATTTAACTATTCTATAAACGAGCGAAAATGCAGCAACCGTCTGGAAATAAAACAAAAAATGCTTGGTGCTATATAATCCTGCTGCACAAAAGAAAAAAACGCAATAAGTATTTCTAAAATCGAGAAGGTGCATTTTGAATGGTATTTAAAGAACATATTTCATTTAGCAGTGAAAGATGATATATTGACTGATGGCGAACCGTTGCCAACATTTCCATTGCACTGAGACTGTTGGTGTTGCAAAGCGTATGCACTTGGATGGATTTTGAACCCATACAATCTAGAATATGGATAAAATAATATAGAAGACTAAATCGTTGTTTGGTTCGCATTCAAAAAACCTGCTTTTCTCATCCAAATTAATAAGCAGAATAACCAGCAAAAAAACTGCAAATAATTTTTGCAAAATTTAAGTGAATGCAAATTTTAAAGAAAATACCGTGGAACAAAACTTGTTACTGGTCGTTTTGGGCGTTCTTCTGGATGTACGAAAAATAGCATGTGAGGGAATCCCGTACCAAAATAAGAACCATCAGTATTCTGGTGCTTTGATGATTTTGGAACATAAACATCACAGCAACGAGGACAGTAAAGTTTAACCATGGATTCTCCTGGTACATCGGAAAGACCTAAATTGAAAAAACTTGGTGCCTGAACCATTTAAATAGCGTTAAAATATATGGTAAGGCTTTTCACTAATCAAAGAAAAGCCTCAAATGATTCTAACCTATTGGAAGCATCGGTTGGTTCTCGCAATAAACACGAGGGCAGACACCAAAATCATGATCATGCCATTTATCAATCATTTGTTGAATTCCACGATTTGTAAGAATATAACGCGCATGAATTAATCCATATAGCATTTCAGCTGCCTGTTCAACCAAATCTGATTGATTTGGGTTGTCTTCGAAGTCATCATCTGCAAAAAGTAACGACGATAGCAGTAAAGTTTAACTCTGAAAATCAAAAACCATACGAGTTTTATTTTTAAAAAACTTCTCTCATTATTAAAAAACCGTGCCATTTCATAATTAAATTGAAGTCTAAAAAAGTACTATTTCTTTGTCAACACGTAATAACTGATTTCCATCGTCTAAAATTATATTTTAAAAATGCAGAACAAGTCTGTCTTATATAGCAGTGCCATATCAAAAACAATACAGTGTTTTTAAATTAACCAGAAATCGCCCCTAAACTACAAGCAATTCGTGCTTTTGTCAGCTTCCTGGTTATTGCAAAAATACAGTTTCATTTATTCTAAAAAGATACATAAGAAAAGCTCTAATTTAGTCACTTTCTGAAAAACCTCTCTTGTCCTTATCTATAATATTAAACTGCATTTTCTACAATTTATGAAGGCTTTAAATTGCACGAACCAGGCTCTAAATCCAGAATCATATCCAATGCTTGACGATAATGCGGTACTTGTTCATTAAGACCAGTTAAATTGAATTTATCTTGAATATACTCTTCATCTACCTGTAATAAAAAAAAACAAAATCTACTACATTATCATTGACATCTCGCAAAATTTTGAAACAGACTCTTTCTTACTATAGTATATGTTAATTATTGAAAGTCCTCGTAAATAAAAGAAAATTAACAAAAAAATGCACATGAATTTAAGCATGACCACTAAAGAGTTTTAAAATGCTACCTCACAAAAGAATTCATTCCCTCGAAGTCCACAAAACCATGTAATCCATGACACTTCTTCTGAACTGCTCATTTCGGAATCTGTTAGTAACTGAGAGCTCCGGAATCTTGTACTATAATGTTATTTGAACTTTACTCTCTACACTCTAAAATTCGTTCAAAGAACAGAAAATTTCATCTCGTGAAAAGCATATGCATGAAGATCACGAGCACGAATATGCTTGCGTACTAGTAAGCAAATGATGAATACAAGAAATCACAGAAAAGCAATATTTTATTTCTTCCGGTCAATGGCTTGATGTACTAAAGGACTGAATTTTACGAACAGCAGTAAAAATAGCTAAATTTTGTCATTCATTTTCTTTCTTAACAACCAAACAATACAACTGAAGGTGAACACGAAGATGCACTCAAGTAAAACCTTAAATCCAGTCTGTTCAACCGATTAGTAATAAAAGCGATATGATTCTGATTTGCTTCCAGTTCCAGTTGATCTTAGCGTCAAACCTACAAAATACCAAATAACATATTATAATTAAATTTTATAAACAGATCAGCTAAAATCTTTTTTTAATATAGAATGGTAAGTCCAATGTTACTCGCTTAACGATGAGAAACATCAAATACACAACATCCTAATCAACATGCATGCAAATATAATAGACTGGAAACTACGACCTGGAGGTACACTTATGCGGCCCGCATAACGCCTAAAATGCAACTTTTAGGTCTCAAACAAAATAAATTACGAAAAAACTTGAAAACAATTTAAGATTATTTAAAATAATCAGTGTCAGAGATGGAAAAATGGTTTACAACATTTTGTAAATTATCTGTTTAAGCAAATAGAAGGACAGAAATGAGTATTTTAAATACCTATTTTAGAGTTTTAAAAAATATAAATTATTGATAGCTAGAAAAGTGTTCAATTATTTAAAAATGGTAAAATGTATCCAATTCGTCATTTATACGTTTTTCCAATTTTCTACCAGCTTTACTCTCAGAATTTTGGTCATTTATCAAGTGATTTCCTTAAAATTTTATAGAACCGCATACTGATCCATATATCGATTGAGTCATAAGAAGTAATTAACTGATGCCGAGCGTATTTTGCGGACCACATTATTTTTGAACTGCTTCTATTAGGTTCCATCGGAATTTGCTGCTCAGTATTGGGGTACAGTTTCTAGAAATTTCTGTGTGCATTTGCTTAGCCTTGCCTTTCTTATATGCCAAAAAAAAGTCTGAAATTTCAGAATATGATTTTCTAGTTTATTCTAATTGGCGCTAATACCCTAAAGTGAAATTAGGAAAGTTTAAATTTAAAGTTGGCGCCAATAAATTTGTTGGGTATAAATGTACAAAATGTTTTTTGCATCGATCCATAGGTAATCTTCTTAATGGACAGTATTTCTTACTCAGTTTTTGGAATAACTTGCATATGTGGCAGTGCTAATTAAACAAGATGAATTTAGGCTTATTTGTATGTTCATAAGGTATTCATTTATGTTGTCCACATAGCAGTTATGATTACCAAATTATAGTATGTATTTTTTTAAAACAAATATATTGAAGATATTTTATTGTATTGTTAATCAAAATTGTTGATATATTATTTGAGATTTAATTGTGTTGTATGACAAAATAGTCTACGCGGGCTGACCCATATTTTTAATGCTCAGAAATTTTCTGGAAAGAAAACGGTCGCTTTTCTGATTGATCTTCGGTCGACTTTGACCTTCTTCTAATAAGCTAAATTTATTCTCAGATACCAACTCGATATAACGTATCACTATCCGTTCACGTTTTATTCCTGTCAACGAAAAAATGTCGATGGATAAATTAAGTACCAGTCAGTTCTCTGTTAAGGTAGGTCTAATTTGTGTCAATCAGTGAGGATAATTTATCAAGAACGGAAAAGTTAAATGTGTACAATTATTATGAGTAATTCATTTTTCATTGTTGAGTGATATTTCAAATTATGAATCATTTAGATACGCAGTGGTCGTATGGATCGACCAGTATACATGAAGAGAAATGCAGTGATGACTCTCAACAATGAAGGGAAAGAAATAATTGTTACTTACGGCCATTACCGCACCGTATGTTATTTTAAGTTATTTTAATATTTTCAGGTTATTTTTTGGCAATTTTTTTTCAATTTGCATCGTTTTTCATTTTTTTTCCGATTTTTTAAGCATTTTTACTTAGAAACTCTGATAGATTTTGTCAAAATTAATTCAATCGACGTTTATAATTTTTGGCAGCAAGTGGTTGGAGTGATATCAAGTTTAGTACATACCTTGCAGGTAATGTATGCAAGGTATATATCACAAGTACCACCGACGCCACCGCGAGGATCTACATTGAGGTTCGTAGCTGACGTCCGACATGAGGAAGAAATGATTTTAGAATTCGAAAATCATGAAGAAATGTTGGAAGCATATAGCATTTTGAAAACCAAATACCTAGGTAAAGACACTGATTATTCCACTGGTTTCTAACCCTTAAGCCGTGAATGATACTTTTAAATAGCTTTAAATTGAGGTGAAAAAATAAAATGCTTACCATACTTTTGAAAATAATGAAGTTTTAAAGCTTTTAAGATAAAGATACTTTGCATTTTAAGATTCATTGTTGAGTTTCAGAAAGTACGCAGTTTATTCAGTCAAGTAAACTTCACAGTGGACGCGGCTTGCACACAACCACGACAGAAAATAAATCTAAGTCAGCAAACGTTTTTTTTTTCTAAAATAAATTACATTTATGCTTATCAGTGTACAAAAGTTATCATTTATTTCAGAAGTAGAACATCCCCAACGATTTTTGAATCTAGGCGGAATCGAGTTAAAAGTCGTAAGTTTTTGAAATTCCTGATTTTTATTCGCTGTCAAGAGATTTACACATATTCTTCTGATCTAAATTTTTGCTCCTCCAATGCATTTTCAACACATGGAGTTGGGAAAAAATTATTAGTTAGTCAAACAAATTCTAGCAGCTTTGCGCTGTTCAGATATGTATTTTTTTGCAGTATAATTTTTAATGAGGGAAGATTTTTATGGCTAGCAGTTAAAAATTATTCAGTTAGCTTCGTAAAGTTGGTAGAAATATATACTTGCACTATTTAAAACTAAACAAATTTGGCATTTTTTTATGCGTAAGATACTTCGAAGTAAGAAAAATTTCGTCATGCATTTCAGCAGTATAATATTTCTTTCTTTTTGGAAACTATGTAACATTGCTTCTTTCCTTCACTTCATGCACGCAAAATGGCAACTGTGCGTGAGACCTCTTAAATGAAACCATGGTTTTCCATTAATAATAACAATCTACAGTCTGGAATTTTGCTGGATATTTATTAATGTTGTGCCATCATTTTTTAGTTGTAGACATGTTCGAGCGATTAACATTTTCACCACCAGAAGAGAAACGATCCAAATCTGAATTATATAGTAAATCGATTGAAAGAACACTTAAGAGCGAAAGGAAGCGATTAGAGTCACCTTCTTTAAGGTAATGGGTTTGAATCTAAAAATGGAAGGAAGCCAATCGTGTATAACTGCATCTTTAGATTTAGCTTGAAATTGATATTGATGAAAGAGTGAAACTTGCAGATCGGAAGAAGCAGTGAAGTTCAAAAGAGATCATCGTGGTTCATCATTGTACGATTACTATAAGGTGAAGAGCTTACAGTTTCACATCTACTTTCACCTCATGCTTTCTCATTTAGTATTAATTTTAGAAGAAAAATATAGCACCTACATTGCAACCAACAGTCCGTCAATTAATAAAGCCATCATCACCTGAAATGTCAGCTTCTGGGTATGAATCTCCTTTTTAATGCAATAAATTACTTTCAGTACGGAATTTCTTGCTTTTCAAATCAGTTTATTTTACTTTTGTGTTTGTTTGTTCTGGCGAATACGAAGAAGAAATTAGATTTTTCTGCAACTTGTGTTTGTGAAACCCCAATCTTATTTTACTTAGTTGCTTTTATTTCATGTTTTTTTGAAAATTAATTTTCCAGTAAACTCAGAGTTCCGTTTTTATGACTTTCTAATAATAGTTAACTGTTATAAAAACACTGTTAAGGTGAACACGACAAACTTTTTACTTTTATTTCAGATCCAGTTTTTATTATATTTTATTCAAATAACGGTTTTAGCCTATTAGCATAATTGAGCATAAACAATTTCAAAGCTATGTTTTCCCAAAAGACGATTTCTATTTTTAGATTTGCAAATTTGGGGAACACTTGCTATATGAATGCTATGCTGCAAGGACTATTTGCTATGGATATTTTTAGCAAAGATCTTTTCAAACTTTGTAAGAACGCTCAGAATAGTGAACTCGATTTGAACGAAGCCATTCCAATGAGCTTGTATGCCTCATTTTTTTAAGTTCATGCTTATCAACAAGCAAAGTAATTTTCGTGCTTTCGTGGTCAAATTTATAAAGATTATGGATAACTTTAAGATCAAATACTTTGAGTTTGCAAAAAAATATCTTCTTTTTAAACTGTTCATTTTAAGGCATTTTTAAAAACATTTTGTTAATTCACTTGTTGAGTATCTGACTTGGAGATGAATATTTACTTATTAGAACATATCATAAAATAAAATATTCTTATTGACATTTTCTTTTAGGGCACTTTCAAGTCTTGCTAGTGGTCGTGATAAAGCTTCGGACTATGAAAAGGAAGAATGGTTACAAACAGTAAAGGAGCTTTCACACTTTACAGACAATGCACAACAGGTTAGATTGAAGTTATACCATCAAATTGTAGATAAAGAATATTGCATTTTCCTTCTACTTTTTAAATGCTTTTTAGGTAATTTTTCAAGCGTTATTAGAATTAATTTTCATAAACCTTCTAGATTTAGTAAAATTGCCAAAGATTGAGGCTCCAGTAAATTTAAAAAAGGTTTAATTTAGGATGCCAACGAATTTTTGGTTCGCGTCCTTAATCAAGTACATGATGAATGTGATTACTTATTGCGTGAACAATTAGGAATCGATGACATTGCTGAAAGACGTACAAAGAATCCTGTCATGGCAAACTTTGCTTTTACAGTGCAAAGTACTATAGTGTGTGATATGTAAGTTCTTTCTGTTTGCTGTATTGAGTTTCATCTAAATGCTACAGTTTTTTCAATAAAAGATTTTATGTTAACATTCATTTAGTACAAAAATACCGTAACAATTCTAAAAATTTCATGATTTTTTAATGAGTTGTTTAGGTGTCATCATGTGTCACACGTTGATGAAGAAAGCATCATTCTTCCAGTTACAATTAATGTGTTAGATCTTGCAAATGAAAGGTACAAAAGTTTGCTCCTTATTTGCGAAAAAACTCGGATTTCTATACTTTGAAGTTTATTACCTGTAACGCATATCAACTTATTTTTTACCAATATTTGGGAACTTTTGCCAAAACTTACTTTAAAAGTTTACTGATATTTTTTTAAACTGTTCCATGTCTCCTTTTTTTATTCAGATTATGTTACGATAAAATGTCATATTAGACTTATAAGTTTACATTGTTTTGTAGACTTTCTAATAAATTTTTGCCATTACCGAGTGTGCAAACGTTATTAGATGAGTATTTGAAAACGGAAAGAATAGAACGAACTTGCGAATTTTGCAACTCAAAAAGTGGGCAGAAAACTCAGAAATTTATTCGACTTCCACGGTAGTACATAGTTTATAAGCATTATTTATTAAAGTAGTGAACGATTTTAAAAGATAATAATTTTTTAATTTGAGCTCAGAGGAATTGATTCATTTAAGAGAAGATATTCATTGTTATTTATTTATTTTGATCAAAGGTCCTACTTTAATCATATCCATCTTTTGTAGATGTCTTATAATATTCATCAAACGTTATTCTTATGATGCATCAAGAAGTGTTAAACGCGATGATAAGATTGATATTCCTGTGTATTTGACTTTGAATGGACACTGTAATGATTCGCCAGCACCGTTTCTTGCCATACCATCTAGTACAAAGTTAGTCGCTTTGAGATTGTCTTATAAATAATCTCTATAAATTCTTCTATAATCACAAATAAATAAATATAAATAAATCCCTATCATTGCCTGAAAATATTAGTTATAGGAGGACCTTTTTTCCATCAAATATTTGAAACATAGTTTTATTCTTCAGGAAGGTTGATTTTACAAATGTCAGTCCAATCAAAAGGAAGTCGTCGACGATGTTTGCTGATTTGTATTCTCCAGCTAAACGTCGCCTCAGTTTATCAGAAAATAGTTATGAAGTCGGATGGAGCACTGTTGATAGCATTGAAATGAAGAAGAGATCATTAACTATTAGTGATCTTCTTCAATCAAGATCTGATTATGGTTTTCTTTCACCATCAACGAGGATACAAGAACTAGACTACAGTAAGTGTGCAAAACGTTACCACAAATTTATAGGAATCAGAAAATCTAATTGAGCAGTTCTAATTGTTATTTGATTCTGTTTGCAGAGCTAACAAACAAAGACAAAAGTGACGCACATCAAGAAAATGCTTTCTTCGATCTCAGCTTAAACCTAAACGTTTGTCTTTCGTCGATTTAGTTCATCCATTTAAAAGATAATTTTTTTCATACAAATGTAAATGAATGACATGTAACTCTGTCGATGTTAATTTATTTATAGGACAGTGACGAAAAAGAAAATGTGGAACAAGAAATAGGAAATATTCTACCACTACCTAATCATTTGTTAGAGTTTTTACCTTTTGATAAGATAATACTGTAAAGAGCTTTGTTTGCTCCAGCTCCAGAAATTATAACAACTTTAATGATATTTTAATTTTTTGTCCAATTTTTGTCTGATAAGTCCATACGATACCATTGTTGACATAAATGCATACAAGCAGTTCAAACAATAATCTGCTGTTCCGTAATTTGATGAAAAAGTTTGATTTTCAGGAACGGTGAATCGTCGAACTCAAAAATTTTTGAAAAAATTGCTAATATGAGCGAAGAAGAACAGTTAAAAATAGTAAGTTAGACTTGAAAAGCTTATATTCTGAACAGTTCCCAAATTGGCTCGAATTTTCTTTCTCAAAATTTCATAAATTTAAATCAAGAATTCGTCATCAGGCAAATGTATTATTTAGTTTTGTTAATAATTCGACTTCTTAGTGCTAGTTTTGCATTAATTATAGTGCCTTATTCTTGTAGGATAGCTTTTTAAAACAAGTGGGATGTAAGAAAGTGTTGATAGCGATAACAAAGTTTTTGGAAGTGTTCTTAAATAAGACCGTATTTTAGGCATGCGAAGAAAGTTTGTTAGACTTAATACGTGGGAATAACGATCAATTAAAGGTACCTCATTTACTTAGACCTTTGGCAACTTAAGAATTTGTAGCATTTGGATGTTTATGTCATTCAAGGGCATTTGGGGTTGCTGAATTATATTGGTTTCAGGATCAAGATTCAGAAATAAATGATCGAGTATCTGATAATAAAAGTACTTGTACTAATGATGCAAAAAAAAGTTTGAATTCATCAGATGTCGGAAAAAATGCGAAAAAAGAAACTGAAGAAATAGACTTGCAACTAAATAAACAAGTCGTCGTTAAGTCTGACGTAGAATCGGGTAGAAATGGATCGGTAGTAAGTATTGAAGATTCTAAAAAATGATTAAAGGAAGGAGTTTATTTATTGCAGTATACACGACAGCATCAAAGTCGTGTATACTGCAATAAATAAAGTATTACTTAAAATAAGCTCTGGCACGTAATTTCTATAAAAACTTGTCGGCGTGGGTGCATTTAAACTAGCTTATTGCATTGACATCGTTTTCATATGAGATACGAAATGTACGATTAAAAATATATGTAATCTTGGACTTCTGAAATCTCAGGTTGCTAGATTGTTTTCTAATTTTATTGTAAATGCAGCTTTTATCGTTTATGAATCCTATCTGTAAGCGTGGATGAAATTGTCCTTTCTCTAAATAAAAATTTTTCATACTCTCCGGATCATTGAGACAATCAAAGTTCTTATTCATCTTGCTTTTAGGTTCAAAATTCGGTGAAGGTTGTCAAATATAATGGAACGATCTCAAAAGATTCAGCTGTGTCGTCTTCTGAATCTGCATTTGGGAGAAGTAAGGAACATGTGTACTTTGCCAGCATGAGTAAAATTTGTGAATATGGATTTGAAAACATTGGGTTTCATTGTTAACTTTAATGGATTCTGTTGTGATCTCTAATTGCTTTCAGCATCCACAGAAATGGTTAGGGCCTCTATTTCTTATGATTTTACTGATGTAAACAGTACCAATAATTCGGAAGAGACAGTAAGTTGCGCGTTTCATATATGAAAAACAAAGTAGTGAAGCGATGAACCATTTGAGGACTAATAGTCTGATGCAAAATATATGAGAAGTATTACCATGTAAAATCAAGACTTCATTTTTAAAGTGATCAAAGTACTTAATCACATGTGAGCAAAAGCAGCTAATCATTTAAACTCTTATTATAGAAGTAAGCTGAATATGGTCATTATTTAATTTGATATCACAAGTGCCTCTGTAATGAACGTGGTTTTCAGAATGTTATTTTTAACGAGTTGGGTGCTCATCCAGTGCCTTACAGACCCATAGCTGCTGAAAGACGGCAGTCTTTGTGCTGTGAACTTGGTCTATTTTTCAACAATGATTGCCTGTCAGTTTTTTTGTAGACTTGAAATCAGAATTCTCTTAGAAAAACTAGTTTTTTCCAACGTATTTATTGCAGAAAATCATATTTCAGTCAAAGTTCTAAAGTTCGAGTAATGAGCCCAAAAGATCGTCCATCTAGGGTTGCTGGTATTGTAAATGACGGTAATTGCCTTTTCCGAGCTATTGCCTATTACTTGTCCGGTAGTGACGTAGAACATATTAAAGTTCGGCAACAGGTAAATTTCAAAATACGTCTTAAAATCTCGATATGTTTGTGTAAGGAATTTGAGCCTGAGTGCCCTACATTTTCTGATGTTGTGTTACTCATTCATTTATCAGCAATTTTTCTTGGATTTTATATTTTTGATTCATCTGCTGCCTACATACTAACATTTAATAGATGAAATGTTAAGCTTTGGGAGGGATAGTAATTATGTTAATTTTTAGCCGTTTTTTCGAATGAAATGTGTCATTTTTCAAATTATTTATGAGGACTCCTACATGTTTTTATTATACCAGATATTAGTTCTACGCATTCTTCAATATTTTTATGACAGTAACTGCCTTTTCAATACTGAGATATTTTCATGCCAAGAATCTCTACAAATAACAGTCTTATCTGCAGAAGTCTTATTCTATCAATGAACGTTTAATTAATATTTAGATTGTGGACTTTGAAATGAAACACTGGGAACAATTTGCGGCATTGAAGGGATGGGATTTGGATGAATGGATGGAACATATGGCTACTTTGTTAATTGATAACTCATGGGGAACTGATATAGAGCTTTCTGCTGTTGCATCAATGCTAAATGTTGATGTATGGACGTTTTATGAAAATCGCTGGATTTCCTATCGACCAAGATTTCAAGTACTAGATGGTTACGTTATTTGTAAGTTTCAAAAATTTTCTAACTTTAGGCATTTAAGCCTATTATATTGTTAGAGCCGTCTGCAATATCTTTTTATCATTAAATTATGAAATATATAATGTGTTGAAAATTTGCATAATTTTATAGAACTTTTACATGCAGCTATTAAAGTATATCTTGATTTGCTGCAAAAGAAAAAATGATTACCAGGGTCTATATTTAGCTATACCTGTCAGTGATTACCGCATAGGTGATAACGAAGGTATTTACTTATTGAATGAAAGAAATCATTTCATGCCTGTGCTTCTGCCTTCGGTAAGAACTTGTCTTTCTATTATCAGTGATATTTTCAAGGAAGTTTTCAGTGAACCTTCATATTATTTCATTAAGAAATAAACTTATAATCTTATTTTATTTCATTTCATCAAGTTTTTTATCTAATATGAAGGTCTGCAACGTGCTTAGTACCTGATCGTTTTTTATGTCATTTAGAATGAACTCCTTTTGACGGAAGTAGATGACGAGCGAACATGTAATCTCATTGCAAATGCCAAAGTAAGCTCATTTATAGTATGATTATGTTGTTTTACATCCTGTTTAAGGATTTTTTTTTCGAGTACTTGAAATCAATTTTGAAACTGGTCTATATTAAAACTTTTTGTAATCTCCTTAATTTTCGTATCTGATATTTTCAAGGAAGGCTTCATGAAACCTTCATATCGACTGCTTTCTGTTATAAGTCATCTCGGCCAAACTAGTGAAAGCGGTATGTTGATTCTGTGTCATTATAATTTAGTTTATAGACCAAATGTTAAAATGGTTTTTCAAATAAATGTAATTAATGTATTTTCAGGTCATTACATTTGTGATATATGGTGTAGAAGGAAAAAAAAGTGGCTTCTTTGTGATGATGAAGTGGTTCAAGAAGTAAATGAGACGAAAATGCGAGCTAGAAATAATGCAGGATATATATATTTTTATTTAAACAGGTAATTTATTGAACATCTTAAATTATTTCGTGCCACATTAATCATTATTATTACATTGAGAGAAAAGCTTTTTGTAATTTAACTCAAAATTGTACTGTAGAAATTTCTTGTTTTTTTTTGACAAGGGATTTGTTAATTATTAATTTTAATCTTTTTAGTGAACTGTTTGAAAGTGAAGAGTGTGCACCAGTTAATGAGAACCGATGACGTTGAATGGGTCATGCATAAGTTATTGTTGACTTGGTATATGTACATATATCTATAATTTTTGGTTATATTTGTGCTTTTGTTAATACAGTTGCATATGTAAAAAGGCAATCATTGGTTTATCTTGAAATGGTAAAGTACATTCATTTTGAAATTTTCAGGAGATTTCTTTCTTCATTTTACAGAACGTTATCATAGCGTATCATTTTCCGTCCCTCACGCAGTTTCTACTTGACAATAAATAAGTGATGTCTAGAAGTTGACTGAATCTGCCGTAATCATAAATGCTTGTTGTTCTCAAAAAGTATCTCACACATTGTAGGACCTCAGTTTTTAGAAAGTCAGAAAATACTCCATGTGTTAACTTAGTGCTTGTAAGTCTATAATAAAATTTGTCAGCTGAGTGAAACTAAATGCATCTCTAACGTATTAAAACTGTTGGTAGAGGACACATTATTGGTATTGGTAGTTTGTGAGAAATTGGTGATTTTATTAATTTTTTACAAAATTAACCTTCACTGTTGGTGAGGGGAGATTTTGTTGCTTCTAATAGTTTGAACTAGAGAAATGTAAGTGCAAAAAAAAGATGTACGTATATGTATATGTATACATTGACAATCGCCTGCGATGTGAGAAGTCGTTCAGAAGTGAGTTCTCAGGCATCAGATCGTTTGCCTTGACTGATTTCTAGAATTTTGCATCGCATATACTACCATTTCCACCGTTTCACCGCAGTTTTGGCATTCTTGACTCAGATATCAATACTTTTGTTGCAGGTGGTGGTGTCATTTACCTCCATAGCACCGTCATAATAATGTTTTAATGGCAGACAAAAGTAGAACAAAGATGAGAATAGAAACTAGAAGTCGTGAATCTCAATTTTGAGTAGTATATAATTTATAAAAATATATATGGTGTCATTTCTCAATTGTGAGTAAGGTAGAAATTGAGGGTTGTGTTTTATTAAGAAGTCAAAAGAAATTTGCATCAAAAAATGGTCGCTGGCCTAAAGGTAGCCCTATTTTTGCTTCTGTAGAAAAACTTGCATTAGTAATAAATACTAAAGGAAGGAAGTATTGAATGAATGCAAATATTGCTTTCACCGATAACGAATTTGTGAAGAATGATAAGGGGTCGATCATTTTCGAATTTGTTTGAGTATTAATTGACAAGTAGCCATTTGTTAATTCATTCAATTCAAAGCATAACATTCCTGCAAATTGGCTTTTTCCATCAATTTTATTTGAATAAGTTAGTATTTTCTTTGTATAAGTTTTGAGGGTAATCAATAAATAGGCAAGATTTCTTCAATAAACAGTTTACATTGTTTGTGATCAGACCAAAAAAATCTACAAAATTCTGAATCCTCTTTTTGTTTTTATAAATGAAATCTTATATATTTTTGTTTGCAAAATATATTATTTGATATAATTTTAGATATAGTATTATAATTTATGCTGTAAATCCCACAGTTTATACAATACTTTGTATAATACAGGAATCTGAATGAATGAATTTTTAATTGATAATTTGAGAAAAATGCCTATTTTTTTTGTGCAATTACATTGAGATAATAGTTACTGTAATATGAGACAATCCCTATTTTATGGCAATATTTTTGGTGGTAAATGCACAATTAGTTCTATATGCAATAGTTGGGTTACGAAAATTTTATCATTTTTCGGCTCGTAAAATTGTTCTTTATTTTATGGCTTCCAACAGATACCTTCGATAATCTCTGTTGGATATGAACTGAGAGTCTCAAATCGATCTTAACTGTTGATTATGCAATGAGACTGTGGAATGAGCCAATCATAGATGAGATGGGAGGAGACCTCGATGAGTGACCTCATTATCGATAGACAGAAGAGTCGGTGAGTGACCCTAACATTAGCAAGGTTCAGAGACGCTGTGTGACCTAATCGTTGACCACAATTATTGAATCTTGAATAATCTGTGCTAAAGGGAAAGATTAGATGGAAATGAATTATGAAGTGATTTTGATCTTTTTCCACTAAAGTAGTCTTATCATCTTCAACAATCATCAGTAGCAATTATTTCGAGAGATACAATCTTACTTTTTTCAAACAGCAACAAAAAAGATCAATGCTTATAAGCTAATATGTATGTATGTCTTTAGTTTTTAGATTTTTGTATCTGAAACGAGCAAAAAAGAAGCTAACAATAAGCTCATAATTTTCTTCCCTCTCCTTATCATTTGTGATCTCCTCTTATCTAGTAATTTTTGTACTTTTACCTTTGAATATTATATCTAGTAATTATTTAATTAATTAATCAAGTTTTTTAATCTATTATAAAATCGTGCAATTATGAGCACTTTTTTTCACGTAGCTGATCAGAAAAAAGGTTCAAGTAAATAATATTTACAGAATTCGCAAGCCTTTTATCGAGCTCATAAATGGGACCTTGCATATTTTTTGGTTAGCAAAATGTTATATTTGATGTAATTTATGATAGAGCACCACATTTCACGCTATAAATTTTCATGCATAATCTATACAGTTAATATACTTGGCATAATAGAAGAATTATTCTTGGTATATTAATCAAAATATTACGTGTAGTTTTGTATTAAGGAGGTAAATTAAGTAATGAAACTATGAAAAAATATCTCAAATTAAAATTCAACAAGCTTAAAACATTCCCTACATATACAACAAACAACAAATGGGCATAGCAGCTAAAGACGGCTAAGATAAAAGTGAAAGCAATAAGCAGGCCAATGACCTCTCCAACAAGCTTCTTACTTTTTTGCTTATTATTTCGAGGAGGTCATAAAGTCATCTATCTGTACGACACGTTACAAAATTTTACAATTGTCAATCACTTTTGTAAGGATAAAGAATTGTTTGAATTTATCCATTAAGTTCATGATTATAAATAGTAATAGCATATGAATATTTGAAAAGAATAAAAAAAATTCACTGGAAGCAATAACAAGCAGTTCATAATTATAATATAAAATTACTTATCATTGCATCTGAATTGAAAAGATAAGCAATATTATGCATACAATGCAATAACATTGATTGTGTTTATCATAAATTTTTTTATTTTTATAAAAAATAATCTTTTAATTATTAGCGTGTAATTAAGTGAAAACAATATGTCAAGAATCGATTTTGATTTTGCATTACTACAATACAAATGAAAATGAATTTATAAATTGGTATTCAAATTCATGAGTTAATATTTTTATTATAATTAGTTAAAAAATAAATGACTTGTTTAGTTGAACTGTAAATAGCTTGCAGTAGGAGGTTTGTTTAGCTTGTCGAATAATTCAAAGTTTAAAAAAACTAAAAGTTTACTTTTAGCAAATCAAAATCTCATTTAAGTTTAAAAATGCTTGCTTTAATTCATTGAATTATTTAAATGTTTCTTATATTTGCAATTTTTTAATGTTCATTGAACCTGAAATTGTATCACAACTTACTCACAGATCACATTCAAAAATATATACTTTAGTTTGAATAATTTTTTGAAAATTTAAATAATTATACTTCTGAAAATTTTATTTGGAACAAATTTTGAAGCAATGAATCGTGCAAAACTAACTCGAAGTGAAATAATGAAATCTATTATGCTATACGGAACCAGAAAAAGTAATTCAACACACAAGGGAGATCGTAAGGCTTAAATGGTTTATGCAAATTTTGCACGTTTTTAAAAACATCAATTTGTAGTACAAATACTATTATTGTTTGTGTTATTTTATTAAATTTGTGAAGATAACATTTTATTATTTATGTAATTTTATTGACTTTTCCTGAATTTTATGGCAAAATTTTCACTATGCAATTATTCAAATGCAAATATTTGATTATTCATTGAAATTAATACTTCAAACACTGCATTTGAAGTATAATTATTGTTACGTATTTGTTCACTTCAAATAACAGTAAGGATTGTGACAGTTTTTGTTATATTCTGCCTTATTTGGTTTGTGTTAAAAGTTTCATATCTGATAAAACGAATAATCAATTCTTTTGCATATTTTTATAATTATTATTATATGTATAACTTTGGTTTTTTTGCCTTTCGGACTCAAATATTGTGGAATTTTAAGCGATCTGAACGGTGGAATTAAATTGTTGAACTTTTTTTAGGTATGAAAAGTTCTGAAGAAAATTCTTCGATACGAAAATGTGACAAAGTGAGAGTATTAATTTCATTTTGGTATGTTTAAATATTCTTGCATTTATGTTTACAATGCTTTATTTTAGGCTTATTTTGGGCTTTAATTATCACACTTTACGTGAAAACTAATCAAAAAGCGAAACCAAATGAGTGATAAAAAGTAAAAATATTTTGTTTATACATGCAACATTTTTTCAGGATATTTGGTTTGTGCAATAATTATGCTTACGTGGTTATGCTTAGTGCTGCTGAGGATATTTTACACCGACAGGAAAACCACGATGTGCAGCAGACTGTAGAAGAAAAATGTATTGTAAGTTGTAAACTTGTAATTAGCATATAATAATTATCTTTTATTAAGATTGCTATGACTAAAAGTAGATTATATTTTAGAATTATTAACATTAAAATACCACTTCAAAACATTATAATTAGCTTTGATACTTAAAATGGCAAAATCAGTAGTGATAATAATGGCAATAATAACGATACTAATAATGTTTTCCCATAAAATTATTATTATTATTATTATTATTATTATTATTCAATATATTAAAACTTTTATCAGTTATTTAACAAAAATATTGCTTTTATAGGAGAAAATTACATCTCGTCAATGTCAAACAATAACAACTGGAGCAGTTTTACTAGCTGATATCTTGCCTTGTTTGCTGATCAAATTATCTTTTCCATTCTTTATGCAGAAGATACCGTTTGGGTATGCTAAAATAAAAATTAAAAACTTCGATATTTGCATATTCGAATAAAAATAATCACAGCTTTGTCCATATAAATTTTGTGGATTAGCATATTTTAGAATCCGACATTTAATTATATGTTCTTTTCAAGTGATCAGCTACCTTATCGTAGCGTTTTCAACAAACGTTATGATGTCTTTGACAGGTTTGTTTCTTATAATTAAATTTTACTTGAAATAATATTAATAAAGATTATTTAATTAGATCATTATATGCAACTTAAAACAGCAAACATTATTTATACGTGCCCTCTTAAAAAGTTAGCAACGAGAACTTCTTATTATTAACCATAAGTATTTTATTCTGTATTTATTTAATTACAGGAAGTAATTTTGAATCTTAAATAATGATAAATCTGTGTCAAAAATTGATCATAACGACAGATGTTTTTGATATTAATAGTGAATAATTATTTAGGAGTGGTATTCGCTAGTGTTAGTTCCGGTCTCGGAGAAATAACTTATCTAGCACTTACTCCTTACTTTGATAAGTAAGTTTTATTATTATCTTGATATAAGATGAAAGCAGTGCAAACAAAAAAGTCTTACTGTATGTATTATATCGCTCATAATAGCCAATGATTGCATATTTCTTACGTTAATCTTCCTTGATATTTCTCTTGAAAATCAGTTAATGAATGTCTCATAATGAAAAGAGAGATTAAGTGGACAGGAAAAACGATAAGGATGAGAAAATTGCTTCTCATTTTTGTAAAAAAAAATAGATCTAAAAGCAGAAAGAGAAATTTTTGTATTCAAAAATTCCCGCCAGATTTTTTTCTTTAACTTCATGTCATTGAGTACAAGGGAATTTTGTTTATTTCTTTGCTCTTTCACATTTTGGCAATGAAATAGTATTCATCATGCAAATAATTGAGTTGAATATAATATTACTGTAGACATATTCAACAGCTAATAAAGATTTTCGGTACGAATTATCGTAATGAAATCTTAATTTAATTGCTACAAATATTGATAGCAAATAATAGCAAAATAACCGATGCAAATATTCAAAGTATAAAAATGTGTGTATAATTTTTTCTACTTTTATTGATCTTTGCTTTTTTATTAGCTGAAAACCTAGCATTTATGGTTGTTAAAAATGCAGTATTTCAGAAATACTATATCAACATGGTCGTCAGGTACCGGAGGTGCAGGGATTATAGGTGCTTTGTCATATGCTGCTCTGACTGAACCACAAATTTTAAATTTATCTCCTAAAGCAACACTTTTACTTATGCTTATTGTACCAGTAATATTTGCTCTGACGTAATTTTTTACTTAATTTATGACATCATTTTCAGCTGATAGCTTATCTTTTAAATAAGCAAATAATTTTTATTTAGGTGCTTGAAAAATATAGATATGAGAGGTTTGGATAAATTCTAAGTGCAACAGTGGTTGAATAATTTAAGTTATCTACTCAAGGAGTCACATTCAACTGATCACTTATGAATATGACCTTTCGAATAGATTACTCATAATTATGCACCAAAACAAATATTTACAAAAAGTCCAGCAGAGATATTTTCATCCAAAGAGATGGTACTTTGCAAAGAATACGAGAACTGCAGTTAAATAAACACTAAAAATATGTTCTTACCAAAAAAACAAAACAAAAATACAGTATCGTTTTGCAGAAAAAGTAATTAATTTGCAGGTACTGGTGCCTGTTAGTAGTTCCAGAATCTATTCATCAAGCAAGTGTTACAAAACCTGCGACATGGGTTGTACCTGATTCACGTTTGTCTAGATCAACAGTTTCAAGTACAGAACATGAAAGAGCCACAGTAGAATCGGATAAAACTAGCACCTCAGTGAAGGAAATAAAACAACGAATGTTATCTGTTAAAGAAATGCTAATGATTACTTTTGTAAGCTTTTTCAAAACAAGCTTCAATTTTTTCAGTTTGCAACAAAGCATTTAAAAATTACTCTGACAAAGTCTTCAGAAACAGAAAAGTAATTTGATTTTGCAATATTCAGCTTAGAAGTAGTAATTATTTGCGGTTGCAAAAAGCATTTTTTTTGTTTCAGTCATTGTTCCGATTTACAATACCTTTAATGCTGGTTTATCTCGCAGAATACTTAATTAATCAAGGCATTGTACAATTAATTGTTTATCCTTGCGACAAAGGATGGCATTTGACCCCAACAAGTCAATACCGTTGGTACCAAGTAAATATCAATATCTTAAATAACAAAATTTTAATGCATAATCTTGACAAACCGTTGAAAATGATAAACTTTTTAATTTTTTAAGGTACTTTATCAGGCTGGAGTTTTTATCTCACGATCTTCAATTAATATCATCGAATTACCATATTGGGCATTAGTACTTTTACCTGTTTTACAAGCAAGTTTTTATTTTTTAAGTAACATTAAAAATTTGATAGGTTACTTGCAAAAATTAATACTGCAAATTTTAAAAGTTTTTTTCAATGAAAATGAAAAACTTTACATTGTACACAAATTAGGAATTTTGGCTTACATTTTATGAATTATATACTTGCGGAATTGTAATAACTATAGTTTATAACTATAAAAAATTTATTAACTTCCATATTACTTACCAGTTCGATGATTTTGCCAAAGTAAGGAAAGACAAACGATTTATCTACCTTTCAATTTTCCCATTATAACTTTCCATTAACAATTTATGGGTGATTTTTTTGCTCTCATCTCTGATATTAAAGATATTCAATGTGGTGATATTCTTCTTGGAATCGTTATACTTCTATATTCCACACATTTGGGTGCTATTTGTGTTAATACTAGCTGAGGGATTATTTGGCGGTTCAGCTTATGTAAACACATTTTCCCATATTCACAGCTTTGTAAGCTTTGATGAATTAATTATTTTCTTTTTTTTTTACAAAAACTGTTTGTTATTCCATGGAATCTGTTGATAAAAAGAATGTGGTGCAACCAGTATTGAATACTTAAGAGTTCTATGTATTCATCTCAAAAATTTGAAAGTAAACGTCATTACAGGTGAAACCAGACATCCGGGAATTCGCTATGTCAATTAGTTCAGTTGGTGACTCAATAGGTATTGTTACAGCTGGATTTGCTTCCATTCCACTTCACAACTACGTGTGTAGCACAAGTCTACCAGCTCATATGACAGCTTCGAATTAGCATAGAAATGGATATTGCTTTAATCTTCCTCTTACCCTATTTTATATCATTTCCAATGAACCAAGTGATAACTATTTTTTTTTATACTCATGTTTGATTTATTTTTTTACAAAAATATACCGTATAAATGTGATGTAAGCATCTTACACATGTAACAACACTGTATGGAAAATTAACTTTTATTTGTTTCGAGTCATTCATGATTGTAGAACAATATATAACGACACATTACTTAAAAACTACTAAGAATGTTGATATTTATATACTTGAAAATTGCAATATATAAAAATAATATCAGCAGAAAATGCAATACACTGATGAAGCATAAAATAATTGCTACACATAATAAACAGAAAATATACGCCTAGATAATGAACAAAGGAAAAAGAAATAAATAAATATGCTACATACATCTTGCCCTGCAATGATTACGGATCATACATGCTCTGAAATGATGGCATGAGATAAAAGTTAGGGGCAAGCTTTTATTAAAATCTCTGAAAGTTTCAAACTAAAACGTTTGCAATAACTCAAAGAATGAAATATATACATTCAAATTAGTGCAAAAGTTCAGATTCGCACAGTTATGAAGTTATGAAAAAGTGATGTGAGTGTTTAGCTGAAATTTACAGTAATACACTCTCACTTTCCTTAACCCCTTCAACCAATAGCATAACTGGGCGAAGTCCTACTATCCAGTGTATTCAATTCAATTTGCTGTTGGTAAAAACAGCTTTTTTCCATAAAATTATTAAGAATGAAAAGTTTAAATTCATCCTAACTTAAGTCCAATGTGGGGTATACAAGCAACAAAAGATCTGTGAAGATCGCTTGTTTACAAATTTCCGCTAAAAAGCAAACAAAAAGTCGTTCGCTACGATAAACGTAAGACAATCTTGACTACTAAATAGCATTTTAAATGGTATTTTTTAAATATTAAAAAACATTATTTAGTAATAAAACTGTCTTACATACAAGAACAAAAACAAATACACAAATCATTAATTCAGATACTACACATTTTGACTTCAATAACACAATGCAGAATGTTCGCATATGAAATTTTTTTTAATATTTGTTTTATATATAACTGAAGTCAGTTTTAAAAAGGTACACACAAAAGATTAAATCAAATATAACTTCTAATTTTTTTTCATATTTTTCATTAATTTGTTTGTTTTTTTTACATTTTTTTGAATATGATAACAACAAAACCAGAAATATCATCTACAAAGTGAATTATAATCATCCTTCAGAATCTGAATGTTGCAAGAAACAAATAAAGTATTGACTAACAAATAGCCGATATAGTCGATAATAAACCATAATTTGCTCATTTAACTCATAATTTTTTACTCTTTTTTACTTTAAAAATGAATGCTTCAAGTAATTTTTCGTAACGAAAGTATCCATAACTTTTGTCACAAAGTTATCACATAATTACCTCAGGCTTCTGAATATATCGGCTATATTAATTTTCCAAAAAAAAAAAACATACACATACACACAAACATCATATTTAGATTGGCTTCGGAACTAGGCAGCAACAACAAATCCCATGTTCAGTACTGAATACAATACTGACCATCATCAGGATTAATATATAATATATAATCATGCTGCAACAAATCGACGATTATATCAAAACAATGATTGCAACTGCAAAATGAGTCTTGCATGGAGTCTGAATCTCGACGACTTGTATGAGTTCTCGGTGCCCGTTGAGGTCTTTCGTCGTGCAATGCCTGTTGAAGCCTCCCGTGTGATGGTTCCGGTGTCTGCTGAAGCCTCTCGTGTGACGGTTCCGGTGTCTGCTGAAGTCTCCCGTGCGATCGTTCCGGTGCCTGCTGAAGTCTCTCCTGCCTTGCTAATTGCCGAGATCTTTCATACGGATGTCTTTGCCTTGGTGCCAGCTGCAGTTTTTTGTGCAACTGTCTCAAGTGTTCACGCCGATTTTGTGGCGTTCTTGGAGAGCTTTTGTCGCATTCTCTTGTATTATTACTGCTATCTCTTTGGATAGCAATCATTAAGCATTCTTCATCTGTTGCCGAACGGGAATTTGACACAAAAATATGTCCACTAGAAGCTGTTATAGTTTGTACCTTCACTCCTGACTTTGTCATTACAAAAACATCTACTGATCGTGATAGTCCAGCATTCGATGGATTCAAAATTGATAACACATCTCTTAAGAACCTTGGCATTGTATTTCGACGTTTTTGTAACATACGTAATCTTTGTGATGTTGAACACTGTTCTGGCGATGGCGTTTTCGAATTTGCTGCTGATGCACGTTGTGTCGGTGATGGTGTTCCAGAATCTGGTGATACTGTAAATCGTACCACTGATGGCATTCCTAACTGGGGTGACGTCATATCGTTACATAATGCTGATAAACGTTGCTGGTGTTGCAGCTCTGAAGTTTCTCCTCGATTTTGTGGTACTTCTGAGCTGGATCCATGTGATGGCTGTACACATGACGACTCCCCATGTTGCAGCTGTTTTTCAGTCTTCAAATCACGTATTTCCGCATCGACCACTGATGATGGCGAACTGAACATCATATCTAGGTTTAGTGATAATTCTTCCGCAGAATTTGAATTTGAACTATTTGATAAATCCAATCCTAAATCTGTTGATTCAGTATCTCGCCGTACTAAATTTAGTACTACATCCGGTGACCGATTTCGCTGTGCTGACAAACGGATATTTGGTTCTCGACGTTGTGGCGAAATTTCCAATCCTAAATCCGGTGATTCTGCGTGTCTTCGTCGTGGTCGTATTTGCCGATATCGTGGTGGCACACCCAATCTACGATTAAGTGATACTGCATGTTGTTGTGACCACATTTCCAAATCCAGACGATGTCCTCGTTGTGGTGAAATTTGCAACCTTACATCCGCTGACTCCGCACGTTGCCGAGGTGAATTACTGGAATTCTGAGGTTGCATTCGTTGCGGTGAAGCTTCTCTTTCCAAATTAGGTGAATCCTGATCTGATAAGGAAAAATTTAATGATAAATCCGGTGGTGAACTTCTCCGTTGGGGTGATGGTGTACAGAGAAAGTGTAAAAGTCTTTGTTGTCGACTTCTTTCATTTCCTAATCCTGCATCTTGTGATGATTCACATAATTCCAAATCCTTTGTCGGTTGCATTTCCCCACTCAAGTTTAAGCCTTGTGAATTTGCGTCGCCTTCTATCGATGTTTTTGCAAGTCTTACTGTAGTTTGTGATATTGGTATGTTACTACGCTCTTGCTCTGCCATCGATGGCGACGTAGCTACTCCAGGTAATAATGTATGAAAATTTTCAGATCCTGATGTTTCAGAATCCTTTTTTGGCTTTTTTGATACCGCAGCTCTTAGTTTTTCCAAAACTGGCGAAAGCAGTACTGGTGTAATTAGAGCCTTTATATTTCTCAATACTGATGTCGACGGTGAGGTCCAATTCAGTGAACGTGAACGTGCAAGTGCATCCGAACCTTGAACCTCAAAATCCCTCTTTCTTAATGACCGAGGCTGTGTAAGTGGATATGAATTACTGTGATGTAGACCCCTTCGTGATGATTCATGAAATTCGTTATTAGCTTCTCCTGATTTTGATGGACTCAGTTTTTGTCCATGTTGCATTACCTATCCACTTTTTTCTAGATACTTTATTTTTTACCTCTCTGAATTATACTACAAATCCACCGTATTCCAAGATGTTATGCTCTTTTTTTACACCTGTACTACTACTGTATATCGCGGTATGAACTGAAAATAATGCATGATTTTTATTTCAAGAAGCAGATTACTGACACAAACACGCACAATAATAATGCAAGCATTATGAATAACCTCAAATAAATTGCAGTTAAATACTACGAAATATCATATTAAAGGTGACAAATTATCTTAGAATTAACGACGCCAATAATTTCCACGAATAAATAAATGTGCCTAATAATATACTTTTTCATTAATTCATAGTTCATTCTTGTTCGTTCTAGTGACTACAGAAGAGAAAATTGTACCCAAATATGCAATGTTAAAATTACGCTATGTAATCATGCATCTGCTGAATAACTTAAAGGTCTTTATTTACACACGTCTTGTAAGATGACTTTAAAAAATACGTCTTCTTACTGTACATTTTGGAATGAACTCTACGACTTACTCTTTTAATTTATTAATATATTTGAAATTTAACGATATTAACAGGAAGAACAATGTTGGTAACATTTATTTGCACGAATACTTGAGAATCTAGAAAGTTACCAGCCATTCAAAAAGTTCCAAATGGGGAAAAATGAGTTACAAAAAACTGAATGTGACCAGCAAGCAAACACACGAGACTAAAGGGCGGACGTTGGGAAGCAATGATCACTCCTATGGCAAATTCGATTCAAGACGCGCCCAAGTAGTAGAGAAGAGAGTAAAAGGGTAGTTACTTCGAGAGGTCAGCGTGTACAATGGCATAAAGTAAACAGCCGATGAGATACTGAGAGATATTAGACGAAGCTAGATGAAAAGGACTATGTATAGCAATATGAATCTATATGCATGCAGATATAATGTAACATAATGTAACATAACATAACATAGCATAACATAGAGGTCAACCTTCTTTTTTGCACTACTGACTTAGGCGCTGGTTAATGTTCTGGCACTCTCACCATACTCGCGCACACTGGCGCTGGATCGTCTTCTAACACTCTCGTCCTGCGCGAGGCAGTGAGAGTACTAGAACACAGTCCAGCACTACTCAGTACCGCAAAGTACATTAAACGACTCAAGAAGATCTTACGCATATATGTGTATGGACATGTATTTTTTAATGTAAAAACAAGAAAATAAATATGAATATATGAGAAAAGAGAAGTTGAGGTTAAGATGAGGTCTTTTTTTCCGCCCTCAAGAATCGATAGTGCTCGAAAAAACGCTCAACGCTCAGAAGCATCTCACTCGATCAGCGCCGTGGATTCGACAAGGACGAAGCAGTGGAGATCAACACAGCAAAACTGAGCGCGGGGCAAGTGCAGCGAAAATGCTAGAATACGATCCAGCGCCAAAATCAATTATGAAGGAAAGAAGAATAACCTCCGTGTGATATTGATTGATTAATTGATTGCTTATATATTTGTAATTGTAACTACAAATAAATATAGACATATAAATATGTATAAGTAAAATATGTATTAATATAAATATATATGTATAAATGTATATATATTTATATATATGAATTGCTCGGCTCTGCCGAGAGATTGAACGGCCTAACTAGTCGAATCGCATCACAGTGTAGAAAATGAAGGATAAATAAACGCAAAGAACCGAGCCTGAAATGACAGCAAATGGAAAACAGGTGAGGTTGCTAAAAAAAGTTGCAGTGCAACAAAACCAGCAGAATTGCGTGCCCGGCGAGTACAGCGAGAGTGCAGAAACGGAATACAACGCCGGACAAAAGAAGATTAACCTCTGACCTGCTGCACCTCCTATATAAATATACATAAGTATAAACATAATGAACACATATGTATCATTCTGTACATATATATCATGTAAATATATATTTATATCTTATATTTCCGTGTGATACTGATTACATATTTAAATATATTAATACATGTATATTTAAATATACAATCAATATCACACGGAAATATTGAATGTGATTGATTATAATTAAATAAATATAAACATATATATGTGAAAAAAAATTTTGAGTAGCATAATACGAACACACAGATATGCCAGGGACTAACTCTTTTCATTCTCATTACACCTTAATTTATCTAAAACCCAAAGTACCATTCCACAGTACATAAAGTATTCGAGAACTTTCCTTACTTAATACAAGTAAAAGGGAAGTTCAGAGAGCGTCCAGCAGACCACCCTAGCCCCTAGCAAAGCACACGAATGAGCACTGTTAAAAACATGCACCGTAAAAAATGCAAGGGGAGGGGACGAAGCAACCTCCACCTTTTCGTTAGTTGCTCTATATCCGGTTGCGTGGAGTGCACTATATTCATATCACTCAATCGATCCGATAGTGATGGCTACAACGAGCAATACAACTTACCTCCGCAAACCTCAACTAGTAGCCAACTATTATATCCAAAGTATTGCTAATAATAACACATTTCTGCCTTTTTCAGAAATCAGATTCTAAAACTGAAATAATGAAGCACTTTCAAGTTGGCTTTAGCGCTTCTCGAAATGTGGCGCCCAATGTTTGTAATCAGCATATACGCAACCGAAGGGATAATACATAAACGAAAAAATTGTAGAGATGATCCAGTGTACCACAACACCTGTGACCTTTTTTCATTAGTTTGATCTAGTAAAGTGTAAAGAATTAAGAGCATTACTTGAGAGATAGAAAAGATTGATAATATGACTTGCCTGTTTGAAAATCTCTCGAAAACTTAGACTAACTAACAATTTAAACTAATTTCACATTCAAAAAATAGATCATAAAGACTCCAATTTACGTTTAAGCTTGAAGTAATGATTGCTTTAGCACTTTGTGCAAATGTTAATACAATATTGAAGTACAGAAGTACAAATTCATTCAAATTGTCATTGAAAGCAATCAGATACAATTTCATTTCATCAGATTTAATCACATACATCTATTAACAATCAAGCATTTAATCGAGGAAATAATATAGCTTATATTTGTATTAATTCAATGAAAAATAATTACGTCGTAATTCAGTACAGTAATTTGATGAAAATATAAATTTAATGTAATTTAATTAATTGGATATAATGATTTAGTAAAGAATTATATATTATAATCACGCGGAGATTAATTTTCTTTTATGCTTTATTGATTCTGACTTTAAGAGTATTCTACTGTACTCGCCCAGCGCTCATTTCTGATGTGCTGATTCCACTGCTTCATTCGTATGGAATCGTGGAATCGACGGTGGTGATCGAATAAGATCTTCCGAGCGTCTTCTTGGGTATTACTATTTGAATATATGCCATATGCGAAATTATTTTCATCCTGCAGTTCATCTTTTTTCCCAGTTTATTAGCCAGTAAATTGTACTTTCGTTTCTTCTCGGTTTCGACTGCTACCAATCTCATGGAGGTTGGCATCATTGGTCAGGACAGGTTGATAGCAGTCAAGACCGAGAAGAAACGATATCAGGATTGTTTCACGTCGTTTCTTATCGAGTACCAGCATGTCCGGTCGATCTTCTCTTATTCTAATTGCAGTTCTTACTTGCGTGTCGACTCTGATTTCAACGTTCTCGTTAGCGACGATTTCTTGCACGGAGTAGCTCCGCATGCGTGGAAATGCTTCTATACCATTGTACTTTTAGACCCATACATCGTAGGGCCTCATTGTATGTTCTAGTATAGTCGTGATATAACATTTTATCGCACTGCGTTGCTAGATGGTCCATCATCTTCATACGTTTTCTACAATGTTAGCGTATATTTTTCTCAGCTCCACACAGATTTCTATCTTGGAGGTAAGATATCACACTTCATCCCGAAGGATAATTTTTTGAGCTATTTAAACATGCAGCTTGACTTCTGTCAGCATGCTTGGGGCCTAATTTTACCTTCAAGTGTTCTATCATCCAAATATTGCTCTGTAAGGGTTTTGTGGAAGTTGTTCACACTTATCATCTTTTCTATGCTTTTCTTCCATCCCAAGTGCTTCTTCTCTTGCCTTATCATGACTTCATAACATTGTTGTCTTACTTGAAGCTGGTATGCAAATCCTTCATTGACTTGGGATAATTCTGTGTGGCATATTCACTCACTCCAAATATACGAGAGTCAGCGTTCTTCGAGATTATTTTCCACTGCCACTTTGACTGGTTTATCTCATGCCTGTGGGCTTCTTACGAGCTATTTCCATTTTATATCTAGAAAAGCAGTACACTCGTGTAGCGTATTTTGCTCGAAGTACGTGTGTTGTCTCTTGACACGCTGAATTCTCCAAGAACCGCTTCTGTGAGCTCGGATGACTTGCAATACTAGTAACTGCTGAATTCGCATGCTTTTCAGCTCATACAAGGTAGCTGCACAAAAAACTTCTAGCTGTACAAAGAACGACACAATGGCCATTTCTTGCGTGGCATTCTCCTGAATCGATTAGAGTCCCTCCTGCACCTCTCACTTTCAGCACCTCACTTCTCCTCTCCTCTCCCTCGCCTCTCCTTCCCTCTCTCTCGCCTCCCCCTCCTGTCTCTCGCCCCCTTCTCCTCTCTCTCGCCTCTCCACTCCTCTCTCTCGCCTCCCCTCTTCTGTTGTGTAAAATCTCAATTTCATGAATGAATGCTTCGAGCGTAATCATTCTGTTGGCATCTGATTCCGATGCAATGACAGAGTTCGGAATCGTAAAGCATCAGTGCTGGATTGTATTTTAGCTCTCGTTATCAGTGTAACCAATGTACAGGCGACTCAGTTTTTAAAGTTTGAATTCTAATTTCTGGAAAAGCTAGACATTCATGATGGTAAGCAATACCAACGTCCATTGAGCAGATTCAGGAGTCAAAGTAATTATACATAAGCAAAATTAGAGAGCCACCGAAAAAAGGAATCATCTGCTGAACTGTATGACGTATGACTCCATGACTCCATGACTCTATGACCTTTATTTAATGTTGAATTCAATTCATTAAGAGAATTATTTGATGAACACAACAGTAATAAAGCAAACTGAATATTCGAACTACAAATTTCAGTTGTTACAGTTTCATTAGTCTTTCTTAGAAGGTAGTATGTATCTTGAAAAATATCGTAATTAGATTCTGCCTTCTATTTTCGTAATCTATCAGAAGGTTCATTTTTTCATTTTCATCATTTACATATTGCCAAATGTTCTTTAACATTCAATTGAAACTTTGAAAAAATTTCAATGATTGTTTTTAAGTCGTTTTTGTACACTTTATCTGAGAGCACCAAAATTGAGATAGCAAAGTATTATCAGTTGCTGAGTTAAATTTTTTTATGCATCCTAATTTCACTTTCAGGTTTATTTAAACACCTGAATAATTTTCATACCATAAAAAGTCACTTGTATCTTTTACTGATTTAAAATGAATTGGCTTTTTAGAGTTCAAAAGTCAAGCATATTTTTGGTATTGCATAGATTTTTTTAACACCATTTTTTGGTGTTTACATCTTACTTTTTATCATTCAATATCAAGAGAGCAAGCAATTCTTATCATTTGATAATGCATTCTTCCCATCAATTCAATTCTTAATTGCATGTTAGATTGATTCCTTACTAAGAAGTCGTGCTCGAAACTTAGACTACACATCTAAATAACTTCTATCATAAATTTAGCACACTTCAATAGTATATTTTTACTCAAATTATTGATACTAATGTATTAGTCTGCTAAGATTGAATTACATTTAGAACAAAAAGTTTCATTTCGTTACTATAAAATTTAGATGCATAGAGAGTTAAGCCAGCAGAAATTGTGGAAAATAGCATTAGACGGAAAACAGGGATGGAGTAATGTATGCATCTTAAAAATTTCAAAATGATTAAATAGAGAATGAGAGGGATATGTTTGCTATAAATTAATTGTTATGTAAAATGTTAACAAGAAAATGTAAATAGTTTGGGGTGTCAAAATTTTTTATAACATAAAACAATGAGACGGGCTTATGAATTCGGTTTTATGTGCCCTTTCTGGATACAGTTATTCTTGATTTTTGATGCACACAATATTCTAAGTGTTGTATTTACGAGAATTACGATTAGTTATTCCTTTTCAGGCTGCTCTTATAACAATGCCTGAGTCCCCAATATTGAATCCAGATGAGAAATGTGTAGAGAACTTTTTAACACAGCTGATGCAGATTAATTCATGTACTGGGAATGAAGGTTCTTTTTTAATTCATTTTTATGTTATATTTGATATGCAGAAATAGTTATCTCACTGCGTTTATTCATTTTATTTAATTTTTCGAATTCTGCATGAATTATTTGTGCGAACCATGTGTCTTTATAGAAGCACTATCAGATGCTTTAACTGTATATTTCAAATCTACCGGATGGCATGTACTACGACAACCCTTAAAAAGCGATCCTAAAAGGCACAATTTGTTGGTTACAAGAGTTCCTTATAAAGCGCCAGGTTCATGTTTAATATTTATCTTGAAATAAGTGTAATTAAATACAAGAAGTTGGACTGTTTGATTTTTTTCTTTACTGAATTATATTTTGAGAAGTTCATTCAGTGTTGAAAGTGAAATTAATCTAATACATATGTTTTCTATTTACCTATTCTCACAAATTTTCTTTGCTTCATTTGAAGTGAAGACTTATTCATGAAAAACAAAATTTTCAAATGGTGTATTCTCTTTTAAATGAGTTATTGCTGTTCAGTAGTTCAAGCATATGAATGTTTTTAGCTAAATCTGCAAGACTCTAAATTTAAGGACCTCGTTATGTTATGAATACTCATATGGATACTGTTCCCCCATACATTCCACCAGCGTGTGATGGTACGAAGGTAACTGGTAGAGGAGCAAATGATGCAAAAGGTTAAATATAATATTTCTAGTGGATTCCTGTGCACTTATCAAAATATTATGACTTAGTAGTGAGATAACTTTTTTTTTCAATTATTAGCAGATAGCAAACGAGTGATTCATATTAGCTGGGTTTTTTTTTTCTATCTGGAACGCGTAATTTTTTGTCAGTCTTGAGTTATTTTGGATGATAAGACTTATAAATATCAAGTACATAAACATCCTAATGATTGAAAAGTTTTTTAAAAGTAATTTTTCGAGCACCAAATGTTTAATGTTTAGGGCAGTTAGCGGTTATGGTTTTTGCTGCTCAAAAAATAGCTGAAGAAGACCCAAAGCTTGCGGAAAACATTGGTCTTTTGTTGGTTGTAAGCGAAGAGCTGGACCACATTGGCATGGTGGTGTGTATTTTAGTATAATAGATCACAATCCAATGAATTACTAAGCTTTTTTTCGAAACTTTTATGTCTTAAAATTTAATTTATTGTTTGAAGCTAAAATTGATGCAAAGAAATGATAAGAAGTTTAGCATCTCAAACATGGTCTCTATTTGTCATACATTTTACTTCATGCGTGTTTTTCAGGAAGCAAATAATTTGGGCTTAGTTCCAGAATTTTTTATGATTGGTGAACCGACCGAATTGAAATTTGGTCGTTTACAGAAAGGAGCTGTAAAAGTAAGTCTGAACTGCAAAATGAGGTCCGATTAAATAATGGTGATGCGATTCCTTTTTCAGTTTTACCGTAGAAAACTTCATTTTAGTCATAGGCGTTCAATTTTATTAACTCTGATGCCACTGACTTTTGAAATAAGAAAAAAGTTCTTGACATCCATAAGATGCCAAAATTTCAGGAAAAATGATTCATGGCGCCAGTAAGTTTTCTTGCTGTTGGTTTGGCACACAAATCTAAAATTACAGAGTTTAGATGGTAATGCATTAATTGCTCATTAAGCTACCTTACTGAGATTACTATAAGCTTTGTGAGGATTGAGCTGTTCATATAGAATTCTAGGACTTTTTGTGTGCTAACAATAAAGGTTACGAAATAAGGTGTGACTGATTCAAAAAATATATATCAGAAATCGCATTACTGATAGAAAACAGAGCTCATTTTTTCTCAATATTTTGTTTTAGTGTCGTTTCTTGTTAATTAGTTGAGTTTGTTACCTTTATCCTTATTTCACCACAAGTTTTTTCTATGAATTTTAGGTTGTGCTGAAAGTTCATGGAAAAGCAGCACATTCTGGTTACCCACATATGGGGGATAGTGCTATTGATAAGTTGTTGGATATTTTGCATGATATTAGAATGCACGAATGGCCATCAGATGATACATTCGGTTGAGTTTTTAACAAAGCAAGCCTGAGAGTGATCGCAAAATTTTTCTTTATGTTCCAAAAATTTTTAAGCAGCTGTCTAAATAATGAAAGAAAAACTGAATGGAGAATGTAAATTGCATTAAAAATACATTTTATAATATTTTAGTCCATAATGCGTACGCAGTGATAAATAAATTAATTGTCATTGTTAGCAATATATAAAAATATTGTAATCCCTATTGAATATTATGAAACTTTCTCTATTTTCTATCTTATAGAAATGAATTTTTCAGGACCAACAACCGTCAATATTGGCCTTATATCGGGCGGTGAAGCGTTGAATGCGTTGGCTGAACATGCTTCAGCAGCCATTTTTTTTCGTGTAACCACATCAACTACAGATATCTTAAAGCAACTAGAAACTATTGTTAATGAACGTGCCGAAATTGACCAATCATTTGGAAAGAATGAACCAATACTTCTTTCAGGTATTCAGAAATTTAGCAAAATTTGAGATATCTACTATTCCTTGTACTAGTATAGTACAGATCTTGGTAAGGTACTTATAAAATAAAATGATCTTGAGTAGTTTGTGAATTTTAAAAGGGAACGACTTGTTGAGCCCATTGATTATAATAATTTAATATCAAATTATACCTTAATTTTTTCAGCTCCACCACCACCTTACGACTCGGAAGTAGTGGCATTCAACACTGATTTACCGTACTTCATAGCTCGCAATAAGTTAAAAGCAGCATATTTGTTCGGGGCAGGTTCTATTACGAATGCGCATTCAAGAGATGAGCACGTTTTTGTAGAGGATCTTAAAAAAGCGGTCGAAGTTCATATTGCTCTTTTTAAATACACTCTTAGAACTGTAACATAGAATAGTAGGGATAAAATCAATAAGATAAAGGTGTGGTATTTATAATGATAGAAGTTGCATAGTGGTAACTGTAATAGTATTGTTAGTAATAATCAGTAATAATAATATACGCTAGGATAATTAAATAATTGAAACTACGTCTATCTTTTGATTAATACGAAGTTTTCCTACGGCCTGGTAGACTCGTACTACACATATAATTATGAAATGGAATGGAAGCAAATCTAGCTTTAATACCTATTGAGTCACCCACCGAACTAATTGCATAGTGCACCTTTATGTATCTGATTTCGACTATTAATTTTTTCTCACAAATTTTTATTTTCCCTACCAAAGGAGATACGAATATTATGATCAGTATTATTAATGTCACTCACTATTACTTTTGTCACTATTAATTCCTCTCCACATTTTTGTAGAGAAAAAAAATTTGGTGAGAAAAAGAAAAGAACTACTTAATATTATTTGAAATTAATAACCACACGTAGCAATGTGAATAGTCAAAAGAAAAAAAAACGTGGAAATTGTAGTCATTAACTGTTCTTTTTAGCCATGAAATTTTTGAAGTGTCAGAGACATTTTTGCATCTCATTGTATTGAGATTTGTACTTCAAACGTTGGGCAATGATTAGATTACTCAGCGACTCCTTTGCGTGGTCAGAGACTAAATTACTCAGCATTTAGTCTTCCCCTGGTCATTAATCAGGTCACTCAGCGTCTCTTCCACCGAGTCAGTAATGAGGGCATTTATGGGCTCTTCCATTCTGTCAGTGACTACGTCGCTTTTTGTTTTGTATGATTAGCAATTAAGATCGCTTTGAGACTCTCAGCTATCTCCAACAGAGACTATCAAAGGCATCTGTTGGAAGCTGTAAAATAAAGAACAATTGTACAGTTCGGGAACAAATGTACATTTGTCATCAGAAATAATGTCATAAAATAGGGTTTGTTTTTTATCACAGTAACTGTTCCCTTAATATAATTGCAAGGGAATGAAAGTTATAGTTCTGTATAATGAATAGTAATACAATTTCTTACTAAATATTCCAGTTAAATTTAGTATAAAATAACGCTAATTGGAACTGTCAATTCGAAAAATTATCGCTGGTATTCTATAATATGCATAAAATGCTGGTTTTGTGCAATTAGAACATGAAGCATATTACTACGTTAAAAACTAGCCGAGAACTGACTTAACCACTGACCAAGTACCTCTGATGTCATCCTTATTTTTTTTGCCTAATGTTAGGGTCAATGAGTTCATTGAAATCAATTTAGACAATTCATAACTTATGGTCTACCTTTCACTACCTTATAATAGCCTTAGGTTCATAATTATTCATGATCAGACCTCGTTATTTTATACACTTCAATGTAATTATTTCATCAAATTTTGTTCCATTGTAATAAATGTCATGCCTTCAAAACTTGTACTTTGTCTGCTTGTTTGGCTTATCTTCGTGTTCTGTGAAACAACTTTCTCAACAGAACTCTCAATTTTGGTTTTTTTGATTGTCAATTTCAATTCAGAGATTTTATTTTGTTTTGACTACCATGAATAAAAATTTGAAGTGCCTGCAGATTTCACTGTATTATATCTGATAAAAGAAAAACTGCTGTTATCAGTGTTATACTTTTTTCACAGCAAATTTGAAATGAGTGAATCATGTTGATGTGGAATTTTGAAAATGTGAGTACAACATGTGATAGTAGTTCAGATGTAGCAGCAACATTTGCTTTACTGTTTGCATTTTTGACATTTGAAGTTCGTCGCAATATTTTTTTCGGTAGTTTGTTGATGTGGTTTTTGAGTTGCTGCATCATTTAAAGTCATTTGTAGGAGTTGAAGTAGTTCACGTTCTGTAAAAATATGTCATTTTGTATCATCATTGGCGAATATAAAATCATAAAAAGAAGTTTTTATTTGAATGCGAAGGAGTTGGAGTACTCGAGAAGCATGATGAAGTTGAGCATGTGTTCAAAAGATGATGAAATGAGTAAATTACTAGTATGGAATGTTTTTATTGAGGAGTATGGATTACAAAGAAACGCAAGTTCAAGAACTTGAAGCTCTGGAAGCAATCTACCCAGGAGAGATGGAGATTGTATCAGATGAATATCCTAATATCGCTGTGAAGATATCATTATGTTCTCATGAGGTATTTTTTCAACTAATTCTCTTTATATTTATTTTATTTTGATACCATTCAATCGTAATTTTTAGCAAGTATTGCGGTCAATTTTGATACACTGTTGTTGGACAAAGAAACAGTGATAATCAAAATAGTTTTAATCCTCTCATTCTAATATTAGTTCATTATTAAACTTCACAAACTTTAAACGAAATTTGTAACTTGAAAAGTTTGTGAGTTTTGATGTTATTTATTCTGATATATTATAATCTCAAATAGAGAAAAGAAACACCTCACGCATTCCAAGTAACATTGTCGCTTTGGTTATCTGTCGATTATCCAGATGCCATACCAAAAATTGAAGTCACTGGAATAGAAAGCAAGTTCAGTGATGAGCGTATCGGAAAAGTGCAAAAAATGTTAACCAATGTTGCGATAGAAAATCTTGGTATGCCAATGATATTTACTATCGTGTCGGCTCTGCAGGTTACGTTGGATTTCTTGTAATATTTTTAAATTTCCATCTACTTGTCTCAATAAACTTTATCTCTATACTTCCTTATTCTTTGTTTAAATAAAAATAATTTTTTTTAGGACGAAATTGGACATTTAATTGAAGAATTAAAAGCCGAAGAAATAGAAGCAGAACAGTTAGCGATTCAAAAGAAGGAGGCTCAAGAACAAAAAAAGTTTGAAGGTTTTTAATTATTTGAGAAATAGATACGAAGATAGTTTCAAGAAAGAGAAGCTTTTCTCAGTAGCCAGTTTTGATTGATTTTAATCTTAGCGTTATATATGACCAGTTTAATATAATCAATTTAGCTGAGTATGTCGAATACATGTCTGTTTTGTGTTGATGATTGAATTTCATGCATATGTTGGAACATGTTTTCTCAGAGGTTTCGAATTCGTTCCATATTTAATTTTTGTAGATTCAGATTCAGTAATGCTCTAGAAGTAAGGCAGCGTCTTCATTTATATTAATACTGTTTTATACTGAAAATGATAATTTCGAGATGTGTTAGTAAGAACATTAATATTAGTAAAATTATAATAGTGATAATGATAATGAAATGTTAGCATTGTCGATAATAGTGATGATAATTACAACATCGTACTTTATATTTACTTAATGCTATGGAGAACAGGTTGGAAGACAGGTAGAAACTTAAATGTGCAAAAGAGGAAGCATCTTTCTCACTTCTTATTCTTCTCCAATTTAATTGCAACTCTCATTTTTATCATTCCCAGTTATCATATTTTGCACAGTTAATGAATATTTTACTGAAAGAGTTCAAAAAATCAAAATTTCCCTTCCTAAAATGCATTTTTGTTCATTTTTTAGTGCCATTATGTCTGTAACAGTAGTAGCAATAATAATAGTAGTGACATCATCATAGTGATTATTTTATTCTTTTTGGTGGATTTGTTCTTGTCTCTCGTTAATTTTCTCGATATTTGTATGAAATTACGTTCTAAAATTTAGAGAATCACTAAGATCAAAAATTCGACGAAGAAAAGCTACAGCCTTTTCTATGTGCTTAAGAGAAAACAGTAACTTTTGCTAACATTTCAAAAATGTATTTTAATTTTTCTTCATAGGCACACGTGTGACACCTGAAGTATTCCTAGCATGGAAGATTAACTTCGATACTGAAATGCAAGCTATCAAAAAGAAAGAAAATTTGGCAAGTTTTGTATTTAATTTATCTCATTTGATTAAGCACAAATGCTTTAGATGTTCCACTATCATTTAAGAGGTTCCTTCCTTACCTTCATGAAATTTTTATTATCTAAAAATGTTTGTGTATTTCAGTTATGACCATTTACCTTCTCGGGCAATTGCTTCCTTTGAAATTTACAGAACAATTTTGCAGTGCGTTCACGAATTTCCAAGCGTATTGCAAAATTTACCATTGATTAGTATCACTGAATTTGTAGGCAAATATAACATGACATTATCAGTAAAAAATTTTTCGAAGTTTTGCAAAGGGAGAGTTTGAAGAGAAGGAAAGTAAAAAATAGTAAAATGGAAGAGAGAAAATTTGGAAGGAAATGTCTGAGAATTAAAGTGGTCTTTTGTTTGCATTGGAAGATTGCCATTAATTGTTTGATTTATCAAAAAAATAATTCATTTTGAAGAATTTACCATGTTACGAGTTTTTTTCATAGTTTTTAATTTTAATGCGTAAGTAATTTTCTTTTCTTTTTTCAGCAGCGTAAAATTTTAAAATTTATGAATATTTATTAATGAGCATCGAAAATTATGTTAATTTTTTTGTTGTATAGAAGAAGAGTAAAGCTAAAGCGATATAAACAGTAGTTGTCTATCATGGCCCATTTTCGATTGACCTTGAACGTTATATACCCACTCTTTCTTAATACGCAAAACTGTTTGTGAGCCAATAAACACAATTATGTTTGTAGTCTTAGATGATGTAAAATTTGTTCGGTGTCATTTATTAAATTAGAATATTGTTATGAATTATACACTCATTTAAGAGTTCAAATTATTTAACTGCAAAAGTTATTTATCTAATTTTTTTTGCTTTTTTTAAGAGAAAAATAGCAGTGTTAGTTTTCAGTCTCTGTACTTAATCTTATATGTTTTGAGTTATTTGTGAAGTTTAAGTATAGTATTTTTCTAAGTGTCTAAATGTCTACTGAACTGTTCACTTGTGTAAGTCCATGTAGCTTCGTAGTTCCTCATCGTCTTGTTAAAAATTTGTATTGGTAAAAAGAAAATCGTGATACTCAAAGGAATTATTTATTTGTTTAGATTCGTGAAAGTCAGATTAGTGGCAAGTTAACTGGCCGACAGTTATTTTTACGGGATGCGACACTAAATTTGTCTGATGTAGCACTTATGGAGGCAGCAGGCACTGAAATCGGATTTGATGAGTCACTTTTTCAAGAGGTCAGTGTGATTATCTTCTTGGTTAGTATTAGAATGAAAGCTGCGGTAGTAAAACTTCTTAAATATAGAATTATCTTGAAGCTTATTTTTTTGTTTGAACTATTTATTTCTGATTCTTATTTTGTTATGTTTTTGAATACATGTAGAGTAACTGTCATAAAGGGATCGTTTCATTATTCTGTGAAAATAAAAATAAGAATTTTGATTCAGAATTCAGTAGAAAAAAATTAAGCCTTAATTAAGTATCCATTGCTAATTAATAAATGTGTGTCAGCATATAATGACGCTCTTCTTTTGTTCTGAGCTTATTGCGATATAAAATTGCTGCTTTTTTATTGGAAATGGTAGCAGACATTATGAATACTCAGTTGAACACTCTCAAAATTGTAAAATTCATTATCATTTCAATAAGTCTCTTCAGAAACAGTGTTTATCATTTGTCGTAATAGCACTTTAGAATTTTTTAAATCTTATATTTATCCTTTACCTTCTTATCGTTGTTTTTTTATCATTGTGCAATGTTTTTTGGTAAACAAATATCATAGTTTTTTTAAACATTATCTTGTTATTTTGGGAATAATATTCTCAAGAAAATTATTCAGTAATCTAAGGGAGCAGTCTTATTCGAAATAATTTAGTGCTGTAATTTGAGAATGGTGGTGTGACTGTAAACAAATTTTTATCTTGCAGTAGTTCTATTTGTGAAAAAATTCAGGATGTTGGAGATCTAAATTCGGATATAAGCGATGGTGAAGATCAGTGAAGAAGAAAGTATTGCTTCAGATAAAAACGCAGTAATTCGTACTGAGAATAAGTTTGCTGGAAACGTTTGCTGTTTTAAAATTATCGTACAGAGATGATGGTATTTACAAAACTAAGACATGGAAATAAAAAAACTTTGATGTATTGCTAATTCGTCGTTACTGAGATCTCGTTCCATTTTTCTGGATTTTGGATCGAATTTCAAAGTTTCAATTCATTTTTACATGTTTATATATATGAAAGAGTACTTTTTTTATCGTCAGTTAGTTTTTCAGTAATATAATTGCTGGCCATTTTGTATGATTTTGGATTTTTTAGTGGTGTAAACTACTGTTGTATTAATAATTGTTTCTAAAGTTGATTTCATTTTCTTGCATGAAAACGAGAGAACAAATGAATGATTATTATAAAATTATGCTTATGATATGTGGGCCGCTGTGATTGCTCATTTCTCGATTATTTGTATATGTTAGATTAAGCCTTCTGTTTCCTTTTGCCTTCATCGTGTTTATGATTAACATTACTTGTAACCTTGTTGAGTTTATTCTAGATAATGTCAAAAAGATCGATTATTTGTTAGTTATTTAGTTTTGTTTACTGAAACGACTACTCTATCAAAAGGATAGTAACGTTAATGCATATCACTTTTATAGTTTCTTTGAATAGAAAATGTTACTCTTAAAGTTATTGTTGCTATCATAAAATGATAAATTTGATATTAGCAAGTACTCTTTTGAACTTTTTAATCAGTTATTGCTCAAATTTTACTGAATATATCCTTCACGTGCTCTTTTGTTAGACTATATGTAAAGATGTGTGTAAAGATCAAAGCAAACTTAGTGTGAAGAAATTATTTCTTATTTTATATCAATGTAAAACAGAAGATGAATTGAGAAGTAAAAAATTTCCATCTTTTTTAAAAGTTAATTCGAAATAAAAAAAGGGATAGAGGCTGTTTTGCTAACATTTTTTCTCGACGTACATTTTTTTAATCTTGAATACAAGTTGTTGTCGTTATATGTAAGGAGTCACTTTATCTGACGTCTTTTATTTTTCAGTAGCCAGTAAAATAATTTGTATCTCAAGAGTGAATCATTGATATGAAATGTGGTCGTATGTACCAAAGTCGTACTTATATTTAAAATCAGCAAAAAGCTTATCTCAATAATTCAAGTTGGTTATAAGAGAAATTTTTACTTCTATCATCCTGTTTACTTTCATTAATAATTGGAAGATAGGCATTGAATATATTTGGCTGAACATTCAGAACACATTTTTGTAAGTCGTGTCAACAGGAACTTATCAGTGACTTGAATAATGTAAAGCTGATATGTCGTTGTTAATAGGTAATTAGATAATAAATGATTCTTTGTTTTTATCAGCCTGTTTACTTTTCTTTAGCTTCAGATCAAATATTCTTATTTGATCTGGAAAGAATTTGTTTAGCTTTGACTTTAAAGCCAGTCTTCATCGAGTATTGACATTCTCAGAATATTACTGGTTTCCAAGTTGGTTTATGATGTTTCAAGTCTAGTATGTATAGTTACTAAAATATGAGCTGTTGCAATTAGCAAATCATTAGCTACTTTATTTGTTTAGCTGTGACTTTCGATTGATCTCTGCTGTATATTTTCATTAATTTGTTATCTTTTCATTTAAAAGATATAATAGGTCATATTGTAGTGATCGATGCTGTTATTTCAAGTTCGATATTTGCAAAGAATTTTTTTGATATAAAAGTTTAGTAAACGTCTAAACTCATCAATATTTTTAATTACGATAGTCTTTCTGATCATTAATTATGATTGTCTTTATCATGAAATATATTCCATTAATGTGCCTTTTTCTTACTTTTCCAATATGTATCAGTTCGTCGTTCTGTTGATCACTGTAGAATTTTGTTTGATGTGATTGTGACAATTTTACAGCAGTAACTAGTTTTTGTTAATTCAAGAACCAGAAGTTTGGTCAGGTTTGGAAAGCAGAAGTCTTTTTGATCCAATTTTCCGGGAAAACTGGATGTTACATTTGAAGCTGTGGATTTTATGGAAATAGTAGACGTAGGAACAAAGTATCATTCTTTTGAATTTTAATGTCAGGAGATGCTAATATAGGTCATAAAATATGATAAGTTAGCCGAACTACAGTACAATTGTGTAATTGTATGACTTACCACTACATAAAAATCTGGTTATTTAGTTTGGATGTCGTGGAAGTCAGACGGTCCTCCATCTAGTCACGGTTCTTATTCCCCGTCATCTGGACAGCACAGCTCGGGCGTAAGTGTTGTTAAAATTATTATCAATTTTGTTTTAAGAAGTCACAAATATGCATAGCAAACTGCTTATAAATTAAAAGAAAGATGTATTACCATGTTTCCTATAAATTGTATTATAATCTGTAATATTGTATTCTGTTTCAGTCAAATGGACGGAATAGTAATGCCCGCCTCGGTCATTCGTCATTTGTTCCACTTCCAGCACATTTACAGGTGGTTCCATTTCTTTATTGGATCAGTTTTTACCTAAGCAAAATGTGTTTTTCTCAAAATTATTTTGTCAATGATAGGGATAAACTTATTATTTGAGTACACTGTTTTATAGAAAAATTGATTACTGCAGGTAAAATCAAAATTTGACTCGGAATGGCGACGATTTTCAATTCAATTTCATGATAACAAACCTCCTTGTTATGCAGATTTCCGTGCTTTAGTCGAGGGTCTTCATTCTTTACACAATATACCATTTACTTTATGTTATACAAGCCATTCTGGAGATCTCTTGCCAATTACTAACGATGATGTAAGCTCTTAATAGTCCTCTTATTAATGGAATATTTGAAAATTATAAACATTTCACAAAATTTTTGATTGTATTTTGCAACACAAGTGTGATAATGATTTAGGAGTATTTGTAAATTCACCACTATATATAATTTTATGAAACTACCGAAATATTTGAATTCCTAAGAAAAATCTTGAAAGCATATTTATCTATCATATTTTTATAACTTTTAATTGGTACATTTTCATGTAGAATTTTCGAAAATCATTTGAATCCGCCCGTCCGACGCTGCGGTTGTTAATACAGCGGAAAGGCGAATCTTGGGAGGAAAAGTATGGTTATGGAACAGACACCATGGATCGACGACGTAAAGGCTTATCGCTGCTTTTACCAACAGTTTCTAGGCCTCCCAAAAGAACATACAATATTTCGAATCCAGAAGATTTTCGGCAAGTTAGTGTTTATTTGCTGCATCTGATCTAATTTCAGGGCTTTTTATACCTCCAAGCGTCATTATTATTCGTTTTGATGTCCTTAAAAAGTTGTTAAGCCTTTTTCAGGTATCTGCTATAATAGATGTTGACATTGTGCCAGAAGCTCATCGCCGTGTAAGACTTTGCAAACATGGTAGTGACCGTCCTTTAGGTTTTTACATTAGAGACGGTAATGCTATAATAACTTTCTTACTTATACCAGATAATCTTTATGTTCCATGTAAGCAATATGTGCAAAAGGTTTTTCAAAAAACTGCATTTCATGTCTCAGAAGTTAGCTTCCTAGAGTGACTGCTTCTAAATTTATAAATTCTAATTTTTGATCGTGACGAAAAGGTACAAACTAATTTAACTTAGTTTTCAAAATCTGGAGTAAGAGACAAAACCAGTTTGGTTTAGTTTTTACAATCTCAGACAGCGCGAAATTCTTTACTGTTCAAGAAATTTTCATCCTGCTGTTGTAGGAACATCCGTTCGAGTAACACCACAAGGTGTAATGAAAATTCAAGGTATATTTATAAGTCGTCTTGTTGAAGGTGGTTTAGCTGAATCAACTGGCTTATTAGCTGTAAATGATGAAGTGCTTGAAGTAAACGGCATCGAGGTTTATTTTATTTAAAGAAAGATTAAAAGCATAATCTTGAATTAAATATAGTGACCATTCGAGAAAATGTTTATTGTTAATCACAAGTTTTTATACAATCTATTTATCGCTTCTATCGTTATTTGAAATCTATTTCTAATTTTTTGATGTTAGCGGTACAACAAATATCTAGCAGTTTTCTCTTTGTTGTTATTAAAAGTCATTTTAAACTTTTGTTTTTAAGGTACAAGGTAAAACTTTGGATCAAGTAACAGATATGATGGTGGCGAATGCTCAAAACTTGATAATCACTGTGAAGCCTGCAAACCAACGAAACACACTTCAGCGTAGTGCACATTCACGTATTTCAGATTGGAGTGGAACTTATGATGATACTTTAATGGCCCAAAGACAAGATAATGACACTGATGTATACGGTACCAATGGGTATGTTCGTATGTCAAATAATTTTCTTCATTTTATTCAAATCTGGAATTGTCTTCCGTTCATTAGCCTCAATTTAAGCTGAAATTTTTATGAAGTTATAAGTATTGGTAGCTTTTAGCTTATTTCAAATCTGTTTGTAATTTAGTTCTGTTCCAAATTTCTCAAGTTTCTAGTTCTCCTTTTATCATATGTATGTGTGCCTCTTTCTCAAACACTTTCATCATGTGACGTTTCCATAAATGTACCCGAACAATAAAATTGATCGAACTCTCTTTTTTATAATTTATTTGCGTACTTTTCAGTGCTTTAAGGTCATTTCGTTCTCAAAACAATAACCTAAATTTGCAGTGCTTTATCAACCAGCCGTCAAAATGGCAATCCATTAAGCGATGAAGATTCTGATGATGATATTGTAGTCGACCATACAAAAGAAAGCATTTCTAATCTGGTACCAGAAAGCCACCATCATAGGTACTTAAGAAATCGTTAAGTTTACTTATTTCTTAATATTCTATTTAAAAATAAAATTTTTACGTTGTAATGTTTCCCTGATCAAATCATCTTATTCTTTTTTTGTACTTTCCTGTGTAGGTGTCACAAATATCTTTGCTGTTTGCAAACTGAAAAGGTTTTGTGTGGTTTTAAGAATTCATTTCATCTGTTTCATAAAATCATTAATCATCGCCAGCAAAATTTGCGACTATTAATGATACTGTATAGTATGATGTCTTGTACCGATACTCCAAATTCTATTGTTTGGTCGTGAATTTGTGTGTAATTTATTGTCATGTAGACGACATTCAATTCGCTTTGGTGCGTTAGTTACTTTTGATGGAAGCCTTCCTTCTCTTTGACTTAAGTGTATTTCTGGTTTATTCATAGTGCCTTTCTTATTTGAAATTATTCAAAGGATAATTCAAAAATTGTGATTCAAAAATTTCCAAATTCTTGCCAAAGTATCATGACCGATCACTGATTCCTTTGAGTACTGTTTGTTCTTTTTTATTTTCAAAGAACATATCACCCTTTTCTATGTGTTTAACATGATCTTTGCTTTTGCTGAAAAGAATGTCATATTTGTTATATCTTGACTTCATTAAAAAACAAGCATAACCTTTTAGAAAACGCCTTTTGTTTGTGAAGCGTTTATAATTTGAATTTATTACGAAGTTATGTTATGTTCAGATTGCATATTTCATTTATTTTCAAACGAAACTGTTTTAGTGGTTATGCTTAATTTTATCTGATTCACTTATTCTCTATACTTGTGTCTGTCTATGAAATCAAAACCTGTATAAAATTAGAGTTGTATTATTTTATGCTCTTCTATTTTCCAAAAGATTAAATCAGCCATTATATTAATTTTTTGACCTGACTTGTTGAGCTCTGCTATTTGCGTATTCAAATGCAGTAAGCCTTTTAATTTGGTCAGAGTAATAAATTGTATCAAAATTGTACTGATTTAAAATGCTCGCTGTTAATGGATGGTTGATGCAAATTTTAGTTGCATTGTCGAGAATGCTTTCTGGAAATAATTCGTGTCATTTGGACAAATTGTACTTGTTGCTCATTTTTATTCATTTCAACTATATTCTTTGACATTTCGCATTGAAATTTTACATGAAGATTTGTGGTAAACAAAAAAGACAAGTGCGTATAAATGATGACTGCCATCGTTATAGCAGTAGATATATTTGAGAACATTACGTTCTGAGTAAGAAAAAGAATTGTTCTTACGTGATGACCTGCATTAAATACAACGATAATAATGAAGTTTTCCTGTCACTAAGTTAGTTTTGAAGGATATTTTCTCATACTTCATTATGATCATAATGTAAAGTTTATTTTTCGTGACAGTGATATAGTAGGGGCTTAAACAAGATCAAGGAGTAGCACATTCACGGTAATGAGTGAAAGACGGTGTATGGAGTAGTGTCAATTTGAAAAGTGGACGCGCGTGAGAAAGGTCAAGGATGAGAGAAATGGTAGGGAGTGGACTTTAAAGATATATGAGGATTATGAAAGGATGTGGAGTGATGAGTGCAAGAGAAGGCAGAAGGAAAAATAGGAAGGCGAGGTTTCTGAATGCAAGCTCAAGGGAGGAGTATTTTCGTAGTTAATTTTATATTCGGTGTTCTTTTATTCCATAATTAGATTCGGTAGCAAAGCTCTGCTAATTATTACATTTTGTACTTATTGAATGTTGCAAGTAATGTTTTTGCAACCTGTCCCGTCTTCCACCACCTAAGACCGAGGTCTAATTTCAGTTTTCAATCTTAAAATGTAGCTAGCCTGCATCTGTTATTTGATTCAATTTAGGAAAATAAGATTCTGCTTGAAAATAAGCCATGAGAATGCATTTGTTCTGAATTTATATTTTCCAGATGTATTAGAATGAGTTAGAGAAGATGAAAAAAACACTACAAACTTAAGCTCCGAAATTTCGAATTTAAATTGAGCTTGCTTCTATTTACTTGAATATATGCATGCATTTAGTGTATTTGCTTAAGTAACGGACATGTGTGTATTTTATGTTAAATTTTTTTTGCAGCATTATTTTCAGTTTCACTACATGCTGATCTATGTATTCTTTGTTTGGCCATATCGATTCGTGATCAATCCTTTCTACTGTTCACGTCCGATAGCATCAGAAGTTGTAAAAAGCTATATCAGAAAGCGTAATTATCCATCGTGGACTTCACTTTTCCTTCAGTACAGGTAAGTGTTGCTCATCATCATTTCTTAAGAAAGTACTCAAGTTTTTTTTTCTCATTTTAAAAATTGTAATTCAACATTACAGACATTTAGTAATTAATAGTAATGTATAGTATTTCAGAGACGTTCAAGACGATCACTTTGGCGAGAAACACTTTAACCTTGACGTGTATGGTGAGAACTATCACATCTTGAGGTAAGTCTCTGAAATATATAGCTCATCTCTTTAAATAGTGTTAACTGCTTGAAATTGAGTGAGAAATAGCTTTTGTGGTGATGATTATGTGATATGCGATTCCTTCAGTATATCCATTTCACTGAAAACTTTTCTTTCTCCTGCGAATTTTGATACAGATTGAGATGGCAAAAATAGTTAGGACTAGTTGTTTTCTAATTAGTCTCGATTGCTTTTCTTCTTATTAAAAACAGCTTTTTTTTTGTTGATAAATTTAAAGTATTTGATCGCTCATTTTTATGGATTGAATGTTTGCTGTGGTTAAGATGTTATTTTGTGCAAACTGATTACTGAATTAGTAAATTTTTTACCACTTGATGAGAGTCTTTTTTCTGCCTCGTCTTCATCTAATGTAAAGTCCACTTGGCTGTAAGCAGGCTTACATCAGATTATTCAGTAAGAAACACGGCTTTAGTCGAAATTTACGATACTTTTTATTTCTTTAAAAAAAACCAGAACATACGATGGAGCATTTGTTTGTGCTTACTGTATTACAGTTTTGTAACCGAAAAATACTGAATGACAGTCACTTAAATAACTGTTAAGGTTCTCAAAATTGTTATACTTCTTTTAATGAATTTTTTGGAGCAGTCATAGTTATGGTTGATGAAAGTGAATGAATTAATTCAATGTTAGAAAAGTATAAATATTTCAGTTACGATCGAAAAGTGGATAATGATGTTAGAAATTTTATGTTGGTTTTATTTTCTTTCCGTCTTTAACTGCTTGATTTGTCATAGAACAGGCAGCTGTGCAAAACTTCACGTGTTCTTCATTTTTATCGCATTTTTCTTTATTTTCTTTGACACTGAGATGAATGTGCTTGTTTTTTAGGTATAAGAAGTAATAATTTTCACTTATTTCCTTGAATAGGAATGAATTGTGAATTGAAAGAAAAATAAGATTGTGAAGACCCTTTATTTTCAGAACTCATTCTCTATCGTCAAGTTTTCAACTACAAAGTAATGAATGTCTTAACAGACGGAAATAGTTTAGAAAGGTTATGTTTTGAAAGTTGGTATTCATCTATCTACGCATATGAAGATAGAAAAAAGATATAATTATGAGCAGCAGGTCGGAGGTTGATCTTTTTTCTTTCTTGATTATCGAGCTTGATCGTATTCCGGCCGGCATTCTAGCTCTACTCACCCAGCACTCAGTTCTTTTGGTTCCGGTACACTGGTCGAGTGCTTTCTCATGTCCTTCACGGAGTTTTTTTCATCAACCTCATCTGTTCTCCATTTGCTTTCATTTATGATTCCAGGCTGTTCTTTTCCGTTCATCTTCCATTTCCTGCTCTCCTACTGTGTGATACGATCGAATAGCTGGCAGCTCAACCGCTCGGCAACTACACATATGTGTTATTAGGGCACTTAATCTATATTGACTGTATAGTGAGAGTTGTGCAGCTCATTTGATTAAATTAGAGTTGAATTAGCTTACATGTGTGTTGTAACATATATGATTGATAGATGCTACCGATGCTCATCGAAGTCGTAACAATGCATTACGAAGGAAGAACCTGTTTTATACAAATTATTAGTTATGGTTTCTGACAGTACTGGTTATTTATTACTCTCAATATAGGTTGCAAATTTGAAAATAGTTTCGAAATAATTGCGTGTGGTGGAATGTACACCTATGTATGTTTACTGATAATGCAAGAAGTAAATGATTGTGTTAACTTGTATTTATTTCCTTCTATTATTATATCTAGAGTTTGCGGTCCGTTAAATGCAGTTGGTTAGTAGTCGGAATAAATCATGAGGAAGTTACATGAAAAATTGTATGCTTGCAGTGCATGTTATTTGTGAAATGATTAATGAATAAACATGAGTTTTACTGAAATCAGAGCTATATATCATGAATCTGCGGGAATAATGAAGTAAAAGTTGCAATGTGAACTTTTTTGTGGCGAATTCCATACGATAAATAACATTTTGTGTAAACTCGCTGCTGACTAATTTAAAAAAAGTATTTCATTTTCGCAGTATTGATACCATATCAATCGCATTTCTGCATAAGTTTGGTCTGAGTTATCAGTTTAAGGGATCACTTTCTTTAGACATTGGAATTCAATGCAAAGCGTTAAAAAACATTCATACTTTCATTCATAATTTTTAGACTTTTTCACTTACTGCTGCTCTTTGCTGTTGTTCTTTACACTCAAAGCTGTCTGTAATCATTTCACTACAATTCATATTGCTACGAAGGAAAAAAAATCATTTTTTTGCGTTGGTAATTAAGTATCCTTTTTCAGATTACGCTTCTAATTTATATTAATATTACTATTATTATCATTATTATTGTTATTATTATTATTATTATTACCTTAATTATGTTGATGTATAGTAGAAGAGGAATGTGAAGCAATAACATATTTTGTTGCAGAAGATTGTGTAGCATATTACATTTTTTTTGTTTTTCTGTCTAGCATGCATTTCCATTGATTTTGAAGCACATATCAAACAACAATTTTTAATGATTAATCATCAGCTGACTAACACTGCGTATCTAAACTCAAGGGGATGACTAGTTTTTAAAAAAATTAGTAATTGAGCTGGATTCACACATCATGCATAGTATGGTTTGATCACTATTTAATTGAATATTTTGGTCTAATTTGTTTATTTCATGGAATTATGACCTTTTGACATTTGCGTGACCTTTTGATATTTGCGTAATTACTTAGTAAGACTGCTGGACAAGTTTTTAAAATGCATATAATTGCAAGTTAAATGGCTTCTTTTCTCTTGAATATAGAAAGAAATGATGAAGTGAAATTTTTTAATTACTTGATTTGTATGAGTGTTTTCAAATTGCGAATGAAGATATTTTGGATATGCTTGAATAACAATCTTGTTTATGGTTGAAAAGTTAGGTGTCTCTTTAATATTCTTTCTGCGTACTCCTTCTGAATCGAAATCCCTAGTCATTTGCAACATTTAAATCCGTTTTATAAAATTGTCATTTTCTTTCTTTGAACAGAATTTAAGTATTTTCTATTCAACAATAGTACTTGTGTTCAGTCACTTTGATTTTTTCTTCATCACTTTTCTGCAATGTTTTAAAATGATTTTTTCAATTTAAAACTTTCTTGTTTTGTTCAATTTTCAGAACTGGCTGCTTTCCATTCATAAAATACCATTGCACAAGAGGATCCTGGCAGGATTTTAGCTTCGAAAACCGTTTATATAAACTGATTACTATTATTAATTTTGGTAAGTACTTAGTTTAACCAGAAGAAAAGACTTTTGTTCTGTAAATCATGATTACTTATGTGTTTTAATTTCATAATTCTTATATGCCCATTTTAGGAAAAAAATATTTTAAAAAAATCAACATGATATGTGTCATTTTTTGTTATAAAATTTTATTTGTGTAATATTCAGTTCGCTATTAGTGAAACTTTTTGTCATATTTGTGTAATTTTGTTTAAAGGAATACCTTGTTTGCTATACGGATTGGCGGCTCAAGCTCTTATTCAACATATCGAATATATTACTGACGAAAATACGGGTCGAAAAGTAGAAATCAAATTCCTTCTGAAAGAATATCATTAATTGAGGTATTTGCAAATTTTCTTAATTTGCTAAATGGCAAATTATACTGCAACAATTAGCTTTCTGTAATTAATCTTTCTATTTTCTATGCACATTTGCTATCTGCATGCTGCATACATTCAATTTGTTTGTGCATATGAAATGATCAAAAATCTTGAAATTCAAATACATTTTTAGCCCTTCACTTATACATTTTCTAGTGAAATGTATTTAAAATATACAAGTGAAGCTAAAAAGTAAAAAATGCAAAAGTTTTTTAAATTTCTTTATTCACGTCAAGTCGCTAGTAAGTTTGTTTGCTTATTTAATACAACAGATCAAAGGCTGCGGAAATGATGTAAACATTTCCTAAATAGCAATCAAATTTGCTAAAATACTGTATAAATAGGACCAAGGATAACACTAAACTTGTTATTAAGTCCTTGTCTTCTTTTTCCTCTTACCTTTCATTCTTTTCTAAATTGAAAATTCCCTTAATTTCATTAAAACTAATTAATTGAATTAAAAAACTTCACGTACTCTTTTTATGTATTTAATTTGTGTATATTTTTGTAAATATTTGAAAAATTTTTGGTTCCTTCTAAAATCATTCATTGAATGCGAATAATATTTTACAAAAAGGTACCAGACTTCATCATATTTCTTGGAATAATTGCCGAGATTTGGATTTGCAGCAGGACTAACATTTCATATTCTGCTTGCACTGTATTTTGAAAAATAAGTAGAGAGCACTTTTTAAAATGCGCATGATGAACTTTGATACTTGTAATTTAAAATGATAGTCCCTAAAGCAGTTAGGTGCTACTAACCGACTATCAGTTTTTGTGACATTTGATTGCCAATTTTTGCCATGTATTCAAAAGGTTTAATAGAGCAGTTACATTATTGATAGAAGGTTTGTTCATGCTAGAATCGAGAAGGACGTGCAGAGTATGAAGATATGCAATATGTTTTAATTTGTGGATATTGCTTGTTGGACCATTATTTTTTGGAAGAAAATCATGGCATATCTTTATAATATTTCTAAATTTAAAGTTTGGTACGTCGTTCAGGCTATAATTGTTTGTTTTGTATAGATTGCTGAATCAGTTATCGCGTCATGCCTTCTCCATCAAGTCCATTGGAATACCGACCGACACCACATCTTATTCTCATCATCTTTTTCATCATTTTTCCACTGATTTATTTCTGCGCGCGATTAGCCGTGGCAACATTCTTTATTATAGCATTTGTTTTCAAATCGATGTTTTCTCCAATATTTCACTGGCTTTACAAAGATGAGCTAGCACTTTCTATGCCTTTGGTTGCTCGTGATTCACTTGTGCATTCTGTTAACGATAATATGCAGAAAATAGCAATAGATCTCTCATCTGATGAGCAGGTAAGATTTTTTGAATATTTGGAACGAAACGTGTCCAACATTGTTGAATACATGATAATTTTTTTAATTTTTCGCACAAAAATACAAGATTATTATGAACTTCAGTTGGGAGATTTCTTTTTTTTCATGTTCTCTCTTGTTTCACTTTAGTAGTAACACTTCTTTAAAATCGTTTCCACTAAATGGTTGTGGTCATTTAAATTCTGTTTGATGAGGCAATCATCTGTAAAATCATATTCTTTATTGAAATTTGTAAAACATCGAAAAAAACTTTATCTCGATTACCTGACTGATTTTGCAATGCAGTTCTAATTTTAGCTTATCGATGAAAGTTATGAAGAGCCTGAGCGCAATAGTGCAGTAAAATTTGTCCATAATTCTGTTATCAAATCGGCAGTTGAAGACGTAATTGCAGTTAATTCGGAGAACTCGAGTATGGTTTTGTTTTCTCAACATCAATAACATATTACTTTCTCATTCTTTTAACTGTAAAATCCGAAGTTCAATGCAATCGTTATAAGAAAGCGTCAATGAAAGAATTGTCTGAACCTTTAATATTTCAGGGTTGTATAATTCTGAGCATTCTGATAATGATGACTCATCAGCAATATCAACAGCTAGCGAGTCAAGCATATTAAGATTGAAGAACCCACAAAATTGTAATGAATCGGAACTTCGGCATAGAAATAATACTTCTCAATTATGTGATGTATAGTATCAGTAGAGAATGTAGTATAAGATGTATTTTTGTCATGTTTTTGCGCTTTTATGCTTTTTTGACGTATGTCTTGAAGCAGTTTTTGGCTCTTCTTCACTGACAGAAATAATCATTGTCTCAATTTCTGAAGTATGTACATTGTGTATTTATGGCCTTCTTTCATTTGCCGGTATTTCAGTCTCCAAGTCTACATTTGCAATGCAGGTTTAATTTGCATTTGGATTTTTTTTAAACTCTATGTCATAATGAAATAGAAATTGTAGGATACTCTTTGGTAGGTGGGTTCATTTTGTGATCTCCGTCAATTCAAAACTCTGGTTCCCATGAAAGTCGTGCATATATACAGATAAGTTTTGAGTAAAATGCAAGAAAAATTTACACCACCATCCACATAGACTCTTCGTTTATGAAAGATTGGTGCTAAAAAATTATCTTTGTCCGTATTTGTCTTCTGTTGAGTCCATTTTTTAGCAGTTCATCAGAAATGTTGTGATCTCATGTAAATGTTATATTTTCCAAAACGTGTTCCTTGTAGATTTAATCGAATATTATCATAAGAATGCTTTTGATATTCTGAAGCATTTGAAGAATCGGAGACCCCCTGAACTGAATCTGCTTTAATGTTGTAATATTACTATATTATGTCATATATATATAATCTATAGTAGATGTAGTTTTGCCTTGTTTGCCCTTACATATGGTTTGCTGCTCACTTACTGATAAAACTGTGTGAAAATTGTTCGATAATCGAAATCAGAATCATATTTTGCTTCGAACCATGAAGTTTTCTTATGATTGTTAATAGCTATATAAAACTTTTTCGAGATTTGGGTGATTGCATACCAGGGATTTTAAACGCTCACGAAAAGTCCAGTACTGCTTATATTAACAACGAAATAAATTTATAAAAAAATTTTAATGAAGAAAATAAGTCTAAAAACATCTATTGGACTGCACATATTAACGGAAATTCGTATTGTAGAAGTGATTAAAAAACTAATGTAAAAACAATTTTATTCCGAAACAAGTGAATTTTTCAGCAAATGATAAATAAGTCTGCTGTATGGACAAAATGAAACCTTGATTCTATTTTAACAACAAATGTCGAAAATTTGTGCTCAGAAAATACAGAAGCTCATAATCCATAGAAGATATCACAGCTGGGACTAGAAATTCAACAAGAAATACCGTTAGAACGCGGATATTGTTCGTATGGATTCTACCAAACGAGCATGAAAAGATATAACAATCCTTTCATGTAGTCGAAAATTTCCTGACCGCCGAGTTTAGACTCGCCATAGAAACGATCTACGAATGAAATCGGAACTTCTCCGATACGATAATTTAGTTTACTTGCACGAAACATCATTTCCATCTAAAAAGTAGATATTACTAGTTTTATCGGATTTAGTGTTGTTTCTACGTTTTATATAAAAACTTCAAGGTTTAATAAACCCGAAATCCAAACTGACTTGAAATACATATCCTTTTGAAACGCTGTCAGCGATCAACCTTGCCAATACATCTTTACGATACAACCGAAAAGAACCAGTCAAATCAGAAACACCTGGTCGTAGCAAAAACTGAAATTGATTTTGCAAAAGCCCAAGTTGAAAGTGTAATACAAGCAATCATGAATGACTGGAAACAAAATGAACCTGAGCTACGAAATTAGCACCTCGACTGATGAGTTTACGTTTAAAGTCCCATCCTGAGACTCCACCACCTCGTGTATAGCGTGTGCCGGTCACGATATCGTACTAGAACGAAAAGAGTTATGAAAATAAATCATATAATCAAAAATTTACTTCAAATAAATGAAGGCAGAGAGAAGATACTAATCACACAAATATAATAAAAATTATGAAATTAATAATAAAAATTCTAGTTATATTTTTGCAAAGTCCCTCTCTTGACAGCTTAATGAATGAGTGAAGGGAACATCGTCCATAGTCGTTAAGAATTTAGAAAAAAAATATTGATTTTCATATTGTGTTTTCTTAAGCCGACAGAAATTTCATGGAAAAAAGTGCATAAATTCAAACATATAGCAGTGGAATGATCATAAATTATAAGCCAAAAAAATAGTGACAGGAGATAAGAATCCAAAACTTAACTACAAAACAAAACTGACTGTCCTTCAGAGCTGGATACGTCATCGAATGTGTAATATGTATTTATATGTGTTACCTTCACCTTTTCAATCCATTACTAATATCCTACTCAATTATGTTTCCAGAATTCAGCAAAGATCTTTATAATTTGCAAAATCACTCGAAGAATTTCATTCAAGCTATGATTACATTTTTAAGTCGTTGCAATTTGACCATTTCAGGAATAAATTTTGGATGATGCGACAAATCAGCGTCCATCAGGATAATGTACTCACCTCGAGCAAACTGCAAACCATGAGTGTAAGCAGTTCCAAGACCTTAAAGTTAAGCTGCTGATCTAAATAAAAGACTGAAACAACAAAAACTAGTCAAAGGAAGATTTAAAACCAACCCAATTTTTTAACTCTCGGCTTCAAAATAATTTTTTTTCGTCCATATTCATCCTGTAATTTCTGAGCTACCTCTATTGTTCCATCTGGACTATTATCATCGATGATAATTACCTATAATTTAATGCCCTTTCAATTTCTTCAAAAATTTATAAAGAGTAATTAGTACGTCACGTCATTTTAGATGCTTTTACCAATTACAGTAGCAAAAAATTGAACCTCATAAGAAAGTCCTGTCCTCTTCATATACTTTTCAATTAGCCAAACACATATAGGGAGATTTTCCTTTTCGTTGTATGTAGGTAACAAAATTGAATACGCTGGATCTTCTTCACATGTCATTTCTATCTGCTAAAAATTAATCACTACCAGACTTCTGGGAAAATTCATGCATAACAAGAGCAAACTTATGATGCGTGTTCTTAGATTGAAAAAAAAATCAATCCATGAGAAAAGGCCGGATTTAAATTAACTTTCCTATTTCAAAGTTGATGAAATGAATCCTACAAAGGTAGAATGAGCTTAATATGTTCTTGAAAGTGATGTCTAATCCCTAATTTGAGCGCAGTTAAAAGTGATAAATGTTGATTTGTACAACATAACTACTTCTTTCGACTAATAAATTACTCCTTACCAGGAAAAAATATACAAAAAATAATCAAAGGCTGAAAGGAAGCATAAAAGCGAAGGTTTCACTAGAAACTACATGATCTACACAACTACTTCTAATTTTTATCCTACGGATATGACTTTGATAATATTAAAAAACTCCATCAGATGACAATACTTCATATAATAGATATAAAATGACTAAAACACTTCATATATGATTTAAAACAAAACATATTAATATAAATCAAAGCCAACCATATTTATTGCTATAAAGCAATATTCTCAATAAAAATGAATAAATGAGTCATACTTGTAAATAGAAATATGACTTAGCTATGAAGTAAAAACAAAATTAATGAAATTGTAGCTTCTAATACATAACTTACTTCACAGTATCGTAAAAACCACGGAGAGTACGAAAGGAATAAAAAATGCATAAATATCAATAGCTTTCACCAAAAAGATTTTTATTGGAAATAACTTTAAAAAGAATTATGGAAGCAGAAAATTTCCAAAAAATTGCTAGATACATTTTCCAGATTATATTTTGAAATATAAATTGTTAACAAACATGAAGCTTAACTTTATAGTAGAAGAAAAAAAGATATCTAAAGTCAGGCGTAAAAAAAGAAATCATTTATTTGAGGTTAAAGGCTATACATGCACTTTTTCATATGACTTGTTCTGAAGCCACAAAACTTCACTTACGTGTATGCGTGCTTTCCATTAATTAAAATTTAACACATTTCAAGTGTGTTTCAAACATAACTAATTTATGATTACTCTACAAAATTTTTATATTCAACTTATGCAATGAACTGAAACAAAAAACAAAAAGTATTCTACATAATTGATCAACTAAACTAATCACTACATGAACGCTTATTTTGAGCTTTTCCTCCATAAATCAACATATTCGTCGGCATTAAACTTCACAACTTCTTGCTTTTTCTGCAAAAATAATGTTTCAGTACTTTTTATCTAAATATGGGAACAATCAATAACGATGAGATGGCTTTAAACCTAATTTGCATACTAATAAATTTGGCTTTGAAAAATGTGATGGAATCAAAAATTCTTTCTTTAAAAACACTCTATAGGCTTGACAGATACAAATTGACTTCAAAGCAGAGCAAGATTTTAAAAACTATTCTAGTTACATAATCTAAATTAGTGCACAACCAAAAAAAAAAGAAAAAGAAACTTTAATGTGAAAATTGAAGCAAATTTCTCACCGTAACTTTCTTTGCTTTATGCCTTTTAATTTCTAATTTTCTGCGCTCATCATCTGTTAACATATCCAAATTAAATGGCATCTGGATCAAATCCAAGGGTTCAGAAGCCCGCATTTTAATTGTTGACCCATCAGGTTGTAGCAGCTAAATATATTAATTATAAAAAGTGCAAATTATCCCTCAGTTATAAGTGTCACGGTTAAAATTGATGAGTAAAGAAATAATTATATAATTTAAAGCCACGAATTTGCATATAAGTAAATAACAATGTAGTAAGTTAAAGTCAATATAATGGAAAAAAATTACTGTGACATAATATTGTCGAACATATTTATTACGTTTAATTCGAGAAATGCCAACACGATGAGCATTATAGCGTTCTGAAATATGATAAGATTAATATAATAGAAAGGCAGTAGCAACTGATAATGTGCAATTTGTATTCATTAAAAAAATATTCGAAAATATGTGCATAAAATTTTAATGCCTAATAAAATTTAAAATATATTAGCAAAATTACCAGGCTGACAGCTAGTTATAGAGATAGATAATAATGGAAAAGTAGCTCGGGTACGTGAGATTCTTCCCAATATTTGTAACATCTGCAAAGTTTCAAAAAATATTCGAACATTTCACAAATCTTTTCAATTAATTGTCAAGCAAATTTCAACAACACAAACAAGTAGAAAACTGAATTAAAATTAAAAAATAAAATAGTTGAAAAACATCAATGAGTGCATGCAACGCGAAAAATTAAAAATCTGCATCAATAATAATGCAGTCTGAAAGAATATTTATATAAAGACATAAGTAAACAAATAATTTAAACAGCAGTAAAACAAAACTTCAAAAGTTCACTTAAATATTTTAAGAGCTGCAAACGAAGTCCATATGCCCTAACTAGTCTAGACGTGAAATTTCTTCAGGAATAGATGCTCATCCTAGTAAGATTGAGCCACTAAGCGTCAAACAGTTTGTTCAGAGTCAATGTCCATCCAAAACGAGCAACTGAGATTTGTCATTGTTGCATTCTGAGCCCAAACTAAAATATGTGGTCCACTATCATAAAAATTTTCATAATGTTATGTATAATAATTTGTAAGGATTTGAAACGGGTGGTCCAGTGGTGTAGTGGTTATCACGTCTGCTTTACACGCAGAAGGCCGGCGGTTCGAACCCGCCCTGGATCAATGGCGACGTTTTGTGAATTTACACATCCAATGTTCTTATTTCTACTGTACACTGGTGTGTAAACTGTATTAGGTGAAGCGTATGGAAGAGATGTGAGGTAGCTTTGTATGGTCGTATGAATTGGTGCTTTAAACTTTGCATTCCTTTTACATTTATTGTTTTTGAAATTATGGATACTTCAAATTATTATGCAAATTTTGGTCATACCTGGGCAGGAAAAAGTTTGATCAGTGCCAAAGACAAATAAGTGTACATTAATTAATCAGTTCAATTAATGTCAACGATTCAGACATTATGCATTTATAAAATAATTTGAGAGGAAGTTTTCTTGTCAACGTTGTAAATTCGTATTCTCACTGAATTAATTAATACCAAATAATACTGCTAAATTTGACATAATTCAATAGCTTATTTGCCCTCCAACTGAATGAACGATCTTATCACTGAATATATCAAACCTTTTTTGGTGCTTCAATTTGAACTATTATCTGACATTTACCTTTGCTTTATTCGTTCTGTTAAGAGCAATACAGTGTTAGCCACTCGTCACACATTGCTGAATTATTAAAAGGATTCATGCTAATCATATCAAATGAGATTAGTGATAACTACCAGAAATCGAGAAAATTTATCACCGAGCATGTCTGAATGTGACAGTAATATTCCCCTAATATCCTAAATTTCTACAGGAAAATAGAAGTTTTATGTGAAATGAGTTTTAAATACTTTATTCTCACTTTAGTGTAATCAACGCATATGTTATCCGCAAATTTTAAACTTAATCCTGTCAAATACGTTATGAGATAAAGTATATATATGCACATATGCATATCATCCTTTAACTGCTAAATGTGTACATGACATCGACTAATACTGATTACACAAGCAAAGCAATTAATTGACAGGCGTGATCAAACGTGTATTAATATTCATCAAATGCGTAAAAATAATTCGCCCCTTTCCTTCTGAATCAATAATCTGGGAGAGAAAAGGGGAAATTTATTCATTTACTTATTTATTATTATTAATATTATTAAGTATTAATTTGATTATTACTGTTCCGTATGTGATGACTTGGGATGGGATAGTGACGAACTTCCACAAACGCTATGTGAAGGAGATCAGTCTATCTGACCACGTCGAGGCATACATGCAATCGATAGTTCTCAAGAAGACGCTCGAAAGCATCTCCTTGGACAATCGATATGGATTCCACGAGGACGAAGCGAGAACGATGAGTACAACAAATCTGAGCGCGGGATAAGTACAGCCCACAGAATGCCGCAATGCGATCCAGCGCCAGAACCAATAAAACGAAAACTAACTCGCACATATTATTTTATTTGTTTATTACTACTATTCATGCAAACTATTCATTGTATTCTTTTCTATATTTATTTATAAAATATTGCTCATTTATCATTTCATACATTCGATATGAAGTGAGTTATGCTGCTCCAGCTTATTTTATTTTTCATTTAATTAATTAGTATCAAGTAAAATCCACCAAACAATACGCGCTATCATACCCAGACGTGAATAAATTCAAAGCATTGTCAATTGTCAATTGTCAATTCAAAGACATATAGCGAAGAATAAAATGCAAACTACTCTTACAACTGGTGTGGAAAAAATCGAAACTATTATTCAATATATATCCAAAATATAAATGGGACTTTGCTTCCAGAAATAACTTAGCATTATTGAACCCATGCGAGCTTACTTAATGCTTTTTTTTCCGTTTTGGATTTTATAAAATGAGAAGAAAAAAGTAATAGTTGTGAGAGAAATTGATTTCATATTGATATACATAAGCCGAATAATCCAAGTTGCTTCTTCTTGATATTTAATGTTGTGCGAACTTTGCCTCCTGTGTAGAAGTCGCACGCCGCAGAGTTGTGCATGCACTCCTGCGTTGGATGTGTTGCGTTTGGACTTTAGCTGCAAGACAAGGAGTGTGGATATAGCATGTGATGGAGAGCTTATTTAAATTGGTTGTGCTTTGTTTACGTTAGAGTTACTTATTAAACTCTTATATTTTTCTGTTTTGTGAAGGTATGTATGAAACTAGCATTTTACTCACTAAGAAAATCTTTAATATAATTTATTTCAAACTATTTTAATCTGTGTAAATCTATTTTGAGATATATAAATGAAGATATTTGCAGCATTCTTTTGTTGATTGCTATTCTATATTTTCATATCTATAAATTTTCTTTTATGAGCTCTCATTTGATGAACTATGATTTGATATAACATTAAACTATGCATATTAAGTGAACGGTAAATTCTGCTCTTCGTAAAAATATTTTCTCACTATTAAGATTTTAGTATTTGAATAGAGCCATATTTTTAATCATTCGCACGATTATCTTGGTTGACGTTTCGAGGTGATAACGTCTCAATGTCGCAGTTTGGACCAAAGAATCCAGCCGCTTGGACTCGACCACCAGGTTTTCTCCTTTTCAGATTGCGATTTTAGATTGTTTTAAATTCTTGTTATTTTCATTCATATTGAAGTTGTGATGTGAAGGTCAAGCATTTGTTCAAAATTTATACGTAAATTATTAATTGCACGACATTTGTTAAATCACGACCACTATTAGCATCATCTTGTCTCTCTAAAGGTATAGTGTGGAGAGAATATTCGTTTAAAGGAAGGATTATATAACCAGTAATTGCATTTCTAGAGTTAGTGATATACTTTTTGTTGGGACATCGTAGACATATACATCTTTTCGTATTTTATTGTAAAGCTTCGTGTATTTGGTAAAGTGATGAAAACTCTATGAAATGAAACCATCTAGTTGTAATTCATTTGCAATTTTATCATATGTTGGCTTAATTTGCGAAGTTTTCCAACCTCGTATATTTTAAGATTTTAATGTTCTATAACTAAGATTAATAGGTTTATTCATTTTCATGTATCTATTAAAGGAGCTAATCAACAACTGAACGCTGGTTTGTTTCAAAATCCATTAATAGGTGCGCAGCCATTCGCACAAATGGGTATGATAAATGCTGCTGCCTTTTCCCAGCAGGCAGTTGGTAGTATGGGCATGAATTTGAGCATGCTTCAAGCTCCTTCTCAAACATTGCGAATGCAAGCCCAGCAGCAAGTAACGTTTGTTTTTTCATGTTTATTCCCTTATATATATATTTCTATGCTCTTTAAAACTAAGATTAGCGTCTGAAAAAGTTGACAATAAAGTAAAATTTGCACAAAAAAGAAGTCTGTTACGATGTTATGAGGAGCATAGCGTTCGTATCTTTTTTGTTGTAAGATAACTGTAACAGCTGCTGCGAGAATTTGATGCAAGATTTTTCTTTAAATTATGGTTCAGTTCGTATCTTTAGCTATTATTTTTACAGATATGAGATTTATAGAGAACATTTTAATTAGTAATCGAAGTAAAAGATTTAAGTTAACTTACACAGTGTTAATTTACTAGTCAGGACGACTATTAAAGTATATTATTAATCGTATTCGTTCACAGAGTTTTCAACAAAAAAATCGCACATTTTCGGGAGTGGTCACAAAAATGCATGATAATTATGGGTTCATTGATGACGACGTTTTCTTCCAAGTAAGGTATGAATAGACAGAATTTTGTTCTAAAATAGCATATTTTTGTATTTTATTAATTTCGTAAACTATTTCCATGTTATTGCTCAACCATGATAAGGTAATTTTGGTTCTTTTGAAACACTGAATTGATTTTTAATTGACGATTATGGTAATATGTGTTAAATGTTGGTAATCAGCGCTTTTCAAAAAGGATTTTAGCAACGTTAGGGGATCATTGCCCCGAGCAGGTGATCGTGTTATGGTAGAGGCGTCGTATAATCCAACTATGCCTTTTAAATGGAATGCATATCGAGTCCAGCTTATTGGTGATAAAGGAGGACCAGGGCCAGTTAGCATTGTTGGTGTTAACAGTAATAGTGGTAATGGGCTATCAGCTCATACACCTCCTGATCGAGGTCGTCAGGCAGTACCAGGTCGCGGATTAATGTCGGTTGAACAAAGTTGGGCTGTGAAATCTGTTGAAAAGCAACAAAGCGTCAGTCACGTAAATGACTCTCGCACTCGTGACTTCCGTCCATGTAATTCTTTTTATTGATTTTTTGAAGAGATTGAAATGCTTTCTTTGATTAGTTTAAAGTTGCTTTCAATCTTACTGGAAGTATTTCTATTAGTTTGATTATTCTTATAATTGTAGGGTTTGCTTTATTGTCAAAATTAAAAGTAAAAGCTCTCTACTTTAGCTCCACGCACCCGGTCTCCAGTTGGATCAAATCGGCATCGTTCTCCTCGTAATGTGCCTTCTGGTCCATCGGCAGTAGCACAAGATGCGCGACGTCTAAGCCCTCCGAGACGTATTTCTCCTCGAGGCATAGCACGAAGATCTCCTCGAAGGTTGTGGTTTTCTTTGTCAGTGCAATTTTGGGTAAATATGCACTTTAAGCCAAATCATGTTGAAAAAAGAAGAATTTCGTGTAATTTGTTATTTCTTATAAATATTCTATTGAATTGAAATTTTTGTAGAAGTCCATTGCGTGACTATGCTAAAGGTGCAGTGAGTCGGTCCTCTCCAAAGCACTTGACTCCAGTACGAAAACATGAAGGAAAACGAGAGCACTCAGCTAGTGCATCAGGACGTAATCGGTCTCCTTCTCAGAAACAAGATCCGAACACTCACAGTAGTTTATCGCCCCCTCGTCGACGTGCTCGAGTCATACCACGATATCAGTGTTACCTCCCGAAAGCACCGATTTCGTAATTTCTTTAATTTAATTTTGTTATCGGCTTTATACTGTAAAACATAGATATTTTTGCAGTAACTTCCGTAACTTATTTTTCATTTTCAAGTCTATCATATGCTTTTCCTGCAGAAATGAAGTAGAACAGACAGTAATGCAATTGCGCAAACGATATCCATCACTTTATATTCCGTCTGATTTTTCGGATGCAAGTATTGAATGGCCAAAAAGAACACCTATAGAGAATCCTCTATCGATTTCAGCTACTCCCATCACTTTTCATATTTTACATAAGGATGTTGATTATCCAGGCGAAAAATTGCCTGTTTTGAATCCACCCGACCTGGACAACCGTTTCTCTGCAAAAGTAAGCTGTTTCCTTATTATTCTTGCTCATTTCCAATTTGTTGGTAAAGCAGTTTTGGAATGATTGCTCTTTTATTTCGTATTTCTGTGAAGTTCTCATGATCTCTGCATTTTAAAACGTTTTTTCCAGGTCGTTCTAATGAGCCATCAAGGTTTATCCATTTTGCATCAAAAAGCGTTTGGTTTACAAGTTGATGGTTCAATTGATGAGAATTCAGATTCAGCCTCTTTGAAACGTTGCATAAATTTTGTTGTTGGTAGAAATTTAAGTTATTCATCAAATAAACAACAAAGAGTTTTGCCATCAGGAAAGTTTTTGGATGGATTTTTTCCTTGATTTACGAATCTTTATGTTTAGGAGTACGTAACAAAGAAATGATGGCAATTGGTGGTGCTTGGTCGCCCTCACTCGATGGTGATAATCCGGATTCTGATCCACGTGTTTTGATTCGCACATCAATTAGAACTGTTCGGGCTTTATGTGGAGTTGATCTTTCTAAGTGTTCTAAATGGTATGTTCATAGAATTTATTCTTTTGCAATTTCATTACCTAAATTTAGTTTTTTTAACAAATACCCGGTGTCGAATTTCCTCGATATCTTTGAATTAAACTGATAATTAAAAAATAAATTCTGTTTTCAATTTTTAAAATCTGGATAGATACTGAAATGAAATAATATGTTGAAGGTCACAAAGATATAAGTGGAAAGATCTTAATGTAAAAGGTAGGATTTTGTATCTATATATTTATACAGTTTGTCTCCGATGTAATGACGTAATCATTTCAAGGGATTCTTGCTATGTCGCAGTTCTTTTTATTAAGTACTTTTGGAAGCACTTTAACTCTTATTTAAAGCTGTTTCCACCGAATATCGTCATGTAATGTGGTTACAACAGGGTGGCTGTACGAGAGAAACCTCTGCTGAAAAAAAGCGACGTTTTTTACATGCATGACCTAGTTTTTCAGTAGTTTAATCTAGCATACATTTGACCTTCTACGAAGATAAAAGAGCTACGATTGCTGCGAAAAGCTCCACAAAGCTCCGCACAAATGTAAAATATGAGTTTAGTTTCAGTGAGGTCTCCTGAAATGTGTATTTTGAGTTTTGAGTTTTGTGGATAGATGTGAGGAAATTAAGGTAGTTTTTCAGTGATAAGTTGAAACAAAGCTTTGAGAAAGCACTCTAAACCCTCAGGTACAAAATGGCGGAGATTCGTTACTATCGTGCTGAGAAAGATCGAATGGATACATGCTGTCTATTTCTGCCAGATACCAGTGGTTTGATGCCCACCAATGACTGCTATCAACAACTGTTGGCCACGTTAAAGAATCAGCTCAGGAGAAAACTTGCTGCAGTAGATGCTCAAAAAGTGGTACTTCCATCCACTGTAGCTGTTAGTGCTACAGATTCTGGTGAAGCTGGGGAGGGAAATGCAATCACAACCGAGTCGACGGCTCTATCTGGTGATAGTCAACGTCAAAAGCAACAATCACAACAGCAAACTGATACCAATAAGGAGCAGGTGAAAACACCTAATAAAAAGAAAGAAAGACCGTTCAATTTGAGATTTTTCTTCTCTTATTTTTACAAATAGCTAACTGTTTAATGTGTCGGCTCGCCATATCGCATTCTGTTTGTTTTGTTTTTTGTTCATTCTAATTTTATTTCACTTTCTTATGCGTTTTTTTCCTCCACTTTTATTAAACACCAGAAATAAGCTAATACCTTTTGTCTGGAATTCATATAAGATACGTCGCAGACCGTATCTTCGTCTGTTATTTCTTCATTGTGTGTCACCTCGATCTGTTTCTAATTAACAATTCAACCAACTAAAAATCGGATTAGTACAGTTTTGAATCTTTACATTCGATGCACTTTTTACATTAGAGAGTAAGAAGTGCTAGGGTTGATCTCAAGTTTCTAACTCTCACATAAATTACGTATTACCTATTTCAAAACATTACTTAAACTTTACAAATCAGTATCATTTCTTAGAAATTTCTCAAAAGGGTTGTTGGGTGAATTGTTGTTTGACAAATAGTCTTTTCTCTGGTTCATCAATTACAACGCTTTTTTCATTATCAGTTTAATCATTCCAGGGACAGGAACTTGAAGAAGATGATGATGAAGATTTAAATCCAACTCATTGGTCAAAACTAGATATTAAAACAATGAAGGTTCGGTGACCTTTCTTTTTCTATCACTGCTAAATATATGTATAGACAAGCCTTTAATAGATGTAAACTTCATCTGTTTTTCATTCTGACATTATTTGCTTTCTCTTATTTCACAATTTCCTTTGATTTCAGTGATGATCAAAGAGCATTTAGACATCATATAGTTTGAAAAAGTCACATAATAGCTATAAAAAATTTCTTGAGAACGGTAAAATGATTTTTTGCTTCCTTAAATCTCCAATCTTCCAGGTAGCGGAATTGCGGCAGGAATTGATGGCACGTGATCTAGAAACAAAAGGGATAAAGTCGGTATTGTATGCCCGGCTTCAGGAAGCAATTGATCGGGAGAAGGCAGAAGAAGAAGGCAGAGAAAATAAGGTTTATTTTGGTAACATGAAGAGTTTCAGAATTAATAATCTTTATCAATGTCTTAGTTTTAGTTGTTCTGGGTTTAGTCATGAATTCTTTTCTGAAACGAAGGTGAAAATTATAAGAGTGTATTAGTTAGATTTTTTATATCTACCTTAGTTAACAAAGCTTTCAATTTAGGATGATGAATCAGTTTTAAAACAAGAAGAAAAAAGAGAAGAAAAGGAATTAACAGATGAAGACAAGAAAGCCGTTGAACGATTTGTAGGTTTTGTGCAGTATTTGCTTAAATTATCTAAAAAGTATCATTTCAGGTGTCATTACTAGTTTCTTGCTATTAAATGAAACAGGGACTAACGGGCAAGATTTTTTAATAATTGCATAATTTGGTTATTTGTTGGTGAAAATATTTTACATCCTTTTTTAAATGAACAACGTGTAAATTCCATGAAATATTTCGTTATAGTAGCACTGAATAGTGTTGGTGTTTCTATGTTGTATTATGCCAGGAAAAAGAAAAGAAGGAGAAAAAGTGTTCAATTGAACGCCATTTCGTTGTTCCCAAAGAACCAGGAATATTGGTATATCCTAGCCGTCTGGCTAAAGGTGGAAAATTTGACTGTAAAATAGTTTCACTTCATGCAATGTTGGACTACCGGATTGAAGATAACAAAGAGCATTCTTTTGAAGTAAGTTTCAAAATTAAGTTCTTTGCAAATTATTTTTTCATGTCATTTCGACTTTTTATGTCTTGGTCTTTATTATTAGCTAAATCATAAAGACAGAAATTTATGGTACAAGCAGTGGAAAAGATAGCATTGTTGCTTCAAGATTTATTTTCAAATTTATGTCGATAATTCACAATCCTATACTACTCTAACTGTTATTTAGTCATCTCATAGATTTCAAGTTTTTCTGTTCATTAAATATTGATATTTCAGCTGGCAGTGATGGCAGAGTGCATAAGTGAAATGCTTGATCGTTCTCAGGCATTTACTGTTTATAAAGCTCTAAGTTGTGCTTTAGATAAGGACTCCGAAAAGAAAAGACGTGATGAAGCAAAACTTGCCGAGGTTTTTGGATCGAAAGGTCTGTAGCCTATTAAAAAATGATTACTTGCAGTATGAGTGATTTATATGAAGTATAGAAATGTTGAGATATATTTTTAGAAATTATCCAAAGTGGGAAAACTGATAAGCCTGAAAAGTCAGAAGAAGAAAAGAAAAAAGAGGATGAAAAACGGGAAGAAGAACAAAAAAAGGTGTTAACTGAAGCGCGAAAGCCCATCGTTATTGATCGTGCAGTTTTCCAAGCTTTTGCTCACTTCGACCAAAATCTTTGCGGGTATGTGTAACAAATAAAATATAAGTAGAAAATATAAATTGATTTTTGTGTTGCATATATATATACAAGGAAAGTTTTTGTATGTAATATAATTGTAACTTACATCCATGTAGATGCTTATATGGTGCGTCAGAATTACCTGTTCACTTTAGATTTGCAAAAATTAAAGAATAGGTTTAAATCTCAGCGTACTTTTTCAGGTATGTTTTAGAGAAAGATCTAGAAGAAATATTGCACTCTATGGGCTTGAACATCTCTCGTGCCCAACTGCAAAAGTTACTTAAAAAGCATGTATCGCGTGATCGCGTGAGTTATAGATTTTTAACCGATAGTTGGGCAAATAAAGATGGCACTGTTACTTATAGACCCGGCATAGTGTCGAATCCCCCTTCCACTGAGCAGCTGTCCAAAGGTTGCAAATTACTAGCTTTTCTTGTTTTCTGAAATAAATTTCTTTTTTAAATATTTCCCCATTACTTTGCTTTTAATAAGAAGTAATGTTTCGCATATACCAACTTAAATAATGCATTTTAAAATATTTCGTTCATTTTTTTCTTTTTTTGAGATTGTTGTAATCCTTATTTTAGGCAATGTGTCAAAAGAATCAAATATCAGCACTAAAACAAATGATGTATCAGACGTAAACTGTGCAGAATCTGTAATGTATCTTGGTGCCCTTGTAAATATACCACAGGTTATGGATCAAGTTGCTAGAATGGAGGCAGATCGTAATGTGGCTCTCCAGAAAGTTGACGTGTTAGAAGCACAACTGAGTAATTTTTATAACATTGGTGGTGGTAAAGATTTAGAAGACGTTCATATCTGCTCATTGAAAATATTTAAACCATTTTTGTATATACGAATGAACAGTTACATAGAGTTATACAAGTTTTTTACAGAGGATAGTGCAAAACATATTCAAACATTAGAAAAAAGGAAGAAAAGACTAGATGAAGATGTAGAAAAGTATCGTAAACGGTTGCATGATGCAGAAAAGTGCCTAAAGGTTAGCTGTATATCAAATCTCGTGTCAATATGAGTTTTAAAATAACTTTTGTTACGAAGTTGATTTTTTCCAGAATTCTGTTGATGACACAGTACAAATGAAAAGCACTATACAAGAATTTCGCAGAATTGGTGAGCGGATGGTCACAATGGCTGAAAAGCTTATGCCTAATCCAAAAGAAGAAGAGAAGGCATCTGAAAGAGATGAAAAGGATGTCAAGAGGGAAAAAAAAGATGAAAAAGAGGACAAGAAAGTAGTTAAAAAGGTTGTGTCTATTCTGTTATAAGTCAGGCTATATTACCAGTTATTATTTGTTCCCATTAACTTTCAAGTTTTACTTTTTGCAAGATATGGGTTTTTTTCTTAATCTTCTCCATTTAAATGAATAGCTCTTAGTTTTAGAAAGAGCCAGCTGCTTCGAAATTAAATGGTGAAGCGGAAGAAAAGAAAGAATTGCAATTGGTCGATGAAGTTGGTAGTAATGATGTTGGAGATGAACCAATGGAGACGGATGTTATTGTCTTGTCTGAGGAACTAATTGGAGATGATGAAAAAGAGATAAAGAAAGAAGTTGTACCATCTCAAGATTCTCCAGTTTCTCAAGAAATTAATCCATGTTTGACCTCAGTCACAGAATAGAAGTAATTTAATCAAAGCTAATTCAGCAGTGAATTCTTCGAAGATTCATAGAATCGATTTTGAAGTTCTTTCAGTTTCTCTAGAAATGATTTCGAAAATTTGGTTTCTCTAAATGGAGGAAATAGGAAAGTTAGATATTGGTTGTGTAGATTTTTTTCTTGGTCTACCAATAATTTTGATTCATTTATATATAAATATGTTCATCTTTATCCTATGCAGTTTTAAATATTAGCTTATAGCTGCATGTATTTTTTACTGAATTTTTGATTTTAATTGTTTTTCTAGCGAACACTATCATGACTTTCTCAATAAGTCTTCAGCTTCCTTATTTCTCTTTGTATTCATTGTATTCTATCCTTTTCATTCAAATTCTGTAAAGAAGAGAAATTGATGCCTACAAGAAAATGATGAATTTTATCACCTTATTCAAAAGAATGTTTCTTTTTTGAATGCCAATTTTTTTTAATGGAAAACACCGATTAAATTATATGTAGCATTTCTCTTATCTGCTGGTTATTTAGCTTTTTTGTGTTAGTGTTCATCATATGATTTCAGTGTTTTCATTGTGTTTGCGCTATTTTCGTTTTATGTTGAAGGTGGTTTTTACTGTTTTATATGTGTCAGGTTGAGCTAAGATTCAAAAGTATTATTAGAAACTTTGGAAAGTTTGAGAACAGGTTCAGACAGATTTTCAATACTATGTTTCTTTGTATTTTTACAGGTATTGTTACGTCCGATTCCAACTTGTTTTTGTAGCCCACAAATTGATCATACTTATTCATTACTTTTCACACAAATTTTATCCCAGTATAGTTATCATAAATCCCGTTTTAAATCGTTCCTGTAGAATTGCGTCTTTGTCTATAACGTTTTCGCTAAAACACGGATAAAGTTCAGTCGCATTCTGTTTTTGCTTTTATTGTTCATGTCCTTACTGAAAATTAGACAGACTAATTTTTCCAGGACCCGCAAAAAAAATTCGTTTTGGAGTGCTCAGTGACCAAGAAATTGGGGTTAATGAAATCTAAGCTTCATTCTGCTCCACTTCACCAGTATACATACACATGACGAGTTTAATGTGAAGTACGGAGCACTTTTTTGTGGCAGTAGAGTGTATGAGTTAAAGAAGTTCTTTTGTATGGTAGGCTAATTACTAACCTGTCTTTCTTGACTGGTCTGATGTAGTTGTGCTTATTTTGTTTCATCGAGAAAGATGCACATGAATGGGTCGATGTATCGTCTTTGAATTGAAGACGTGTAATATTTTTCCTAGGACTGTACCAAATATTTGTTATCAGTGCATTTAATCTCCACAAATATATTTATGCCAATTGTGAATGAATGAATGAATGTCATTCTCGTTAAAGAAATGAGCAAGTATTCCGTTAACGTCCTTGAATGAATACATTTGTTGTAATTAGAGAGTTGTGTTCTCTGACCAGGCTATTTATTATCTATTTTATCACTTGATATACAGATTTTAATTTTATTTTAGTCAATGGTCAATAATTCAACTAATGTAAATCACTGTTAAATAATGAACTGATCTTTTATTTGCATAAGATATGCAAAGTATTATAAAATCATTCTCGTAATATTACACTTTCAAGGACAGTTTCAATAACTTCTTTTCGAGGTTTTGTTCTATTTGATATTTTATTTAAGTTTCATACTATTCATTCGACAGGTGTCATATATATATATATATATATATATATATATATATATAT